GCCATCTCATCTGATTGATCATCATCAGAGCCCATGGTTGAAGTCCTCAATCAAGCACTTTTAACAACAGCAAAACCGGTGTCGCTACACGGTCATTGCGTAGATAAAGTACTAGAGAAGATGACTTATTGTTTTTGCAAAATGCGTGATTTTTGTTTTTTGATTTTTGAAACTGAATTTTATCGACCGATGATTTGGATTCTAACCTTGATCTCTCTTCTGTGGCACCAACCGTGCCACCACCAGCACCTCCAGATGAAAATGTTGACGACAATATTCAAATTGATGATGTCCCAGTTGACGATATTCAAATTGAAGAACCCTTTGTACACACGCGTTCAGGACAACATGTCAAACCAAATACCCGATACTTCAATGATAAAATGGTTCACGCACATTTGGCATTTCTTGAGACTTACTCTCCCACGTGCGATGATGACATCAGAAATTGTCAACTACTGCAAGCAGATCACTCTGAAGAACCGCATTCTTTTGCCTCCATTTATGGATTGGCAGGATCCACTGATCCAGATACAATGACTTTCTCAGAAGGGATGAGCGCCCATGATAAGAACGAATTTGTCAAGGCCATGTATAAAGAGCTGGGTGATCATATCAGAAGGAAACATTGGAAAGTTGTCCCAATCGGGAGCATTCCAACCCACAAACGAGCCATTCCCATGGTGTGGGCTATGAAGCGAAAGAAGAACCCTATAGGGGAAATCATCAAGTGGAAAGCTAGATTATGCGCTGGCAGTCACATGTCCATTGAGAATGTTGACTACTGGAACACATATGCACCAGTTGTATCTTGGAGCACTGTTTGTCTTGTGGTAATATTTGCTCTGATCAACGATTGGCATATGGAATCCATCGACTTTGTATTGGCATATCCACAGGCTCCCATCCGAACTGACATTTTTATGAAACCTCCAAAAGTACCTCCGAATTTCACAATTCCTGATTTACCGAAAACTGCAGATCGATCCATCAACGTTTACAAATTGTTACAGAACCTTTATGGCTTGAAAGATGCTGGACGCACATGGTCACAATTTCTTCACAAGGGATTGATTGATCAAGGATGGAAACAATCAAGTATTGATTCTTGCTTGTACACCAAACAAAACATTATTTTGGTACTTTATGTGGATGATGCGTGTTTACTCTCACCAGACAAAAATCTTATCAACAGAGAAATCAAATCCCTTCAAGAACAGTACAACCTCACCGACGATGGAGAACTACAGGATTACCTTGGTACCAGATTCACAAAATTACCAGATGGTTCCATCTTATTGGAACAACCACGAATGATCAACCGAATTTTGGAAATGGTTGGATTGGATGCTTCCGATTCCAGCCGAGTCAAGACACATGATTGTCCTGCCTCGAGTACCAACATCCTCGATAAAGATCCTGATGGAAAACCTCACGGATATGCTTGGAACTACAGATCAGTTGTTGGGAGTCTCAGTTATGTACAGGCAATGATACGTCCAGATATCACAATGGCCGTACAACAATGTGCAAGATTCTGCAATGATCCCAAAGAATCGCATGCCATGGCCGTTAAACGCATTTGCAGATATTTATACAAAACCCGCCACATGGGATTACACTTCAAACCGGATAAGACAAAAGGACTGGAATGTTATGTTGACGCCGATTGGGCAGGATCTTGGCGAGATCGAACATCTACTGATCCGCTGTCTTCACGATCACGAACTGGATATATTATCACCTATGCTGGTTGTCCAATTGTCTGGGCATCCAAGTTGCAAACTCTTGTTGCACTGTCCACAACTGAAGCGGAATACATTGCGCTATCATCATCTCTACGCGAAGTTATCGCACTAATGAACTTGATCAACGAATTGAAGTCATTGGATTTTAAACTTTCAGTTGATACGCCAAAGGTCATTTGTACGGTGTTCGAAGACAATCGAAGTTGTCTTGAGATTGCAACCAATCACCGAACACGACCGAGGACAAAACATCTCTCCATTCGACTTCATCATTTTCGGTCTCATGTTCTGGCCAAAACAATCGATATCAAACACATTTCCACCAAAGAGCAATTGGCCGACATCTTCACTAAACCATTGGCCAGAGATCAGTCTATCAAATTACGAGATCGATTCATGGGTTGGGACTCTCTCGGCGAGAGGGAGTGAGAGATTAAGCTCCAGAGTCATACACATGAATCGAGAGAGTCGATCCGTTTCGTGTCTCAAATGCGTACTCGAAGGATCTTTTATTCGATACGCTTCTCTCGATACATTTTGTGTCTCAAGTGCGTGTTCGAAGGATCTTTGATTCGATACGCAACTTCGCCTATCTCTGGTTTTCTCTTTCTTTGTTGTTTTAAAATCATAATCTTTACTTTACATCATTACAACGATATTTTCACAGAGCAAGTGTAAAAAGTGTGATTTTAAAAGGAACCCGGAAAAGATGTCTAGCCGTCACCCGTATATCGCGTTGGGAAGCAGACGAACGTTTGCTGCTGTCTCTCGCCGATGACGGAAGCAAGCACCATCTCTTCGTTTCTATCGATCAATTCCTATCGATTGATATCATGAGTCAAATATCAGGAACATCCCGTCGCGTTGTAAGAAACCTTGCTCATCGCAAGGTCGATTGGTACGTTTTCTAATTTTTCTCCTTGATTGGACTTTTTTTGGGTGTTGCGATGCCGATGACCGAGATTTTTAGCTTCGCGATACATTCTTGACCTTCATGCGATGGGTCTTTTGCAGTGTAATAGTTTTCGTGCACGTTATTCACCGAGTTATTCAATTTGATTTTACCGTACAACAGGTCTGCTGATGTCTGGAAGGCTGCTCCCATTGTCAACAATGTCAACCAGTTCCGCGCTTGGGTTTCTTCTGCCGAAGGCCAAGCCGAGAAGTACAAGGCCGCTCCCGCAGCTATTGACTTCTCCGGTGCCAAGAGCAAGGTTCGTGACACTGAAATGATCGATATGCTAGAGTCTTTCTACAAGACTGCAAAGCCTGCTCCTGAAACGCACGAATGGGATGCCGAGGATAAGGCTTTCAAGACCCAACACTTTGAACAGGTTAAGGAACAAGCCGCTGTCTACGCTGAACTCAAGGAAGATTTGCTCAAGGAAATCGAGTTCCAAAAGGCCACCAGAACAACTGCCGAGACCACCATCTACGATCTCATGTGCAACAACCCTACCATCCACGAGGAGATTGAAGACGAGATCGAACGTCGTGAGTGGTTCAAGGATATTGGTTTGAACGCCAAGTAAGCTGTTAGTTAGGAATAGGATATTTTGATCATCCTAGTGACTTGGTTTAATGGTACTACAATTAAGAGTATGCTATTGTACTTCTTTCGTTTCTGGGCCTGTTTGTGGAAGACACCAGAAGCGTTTCTCGCAGTTGCAGGGTTCACGTTTATAGGAATTGTCAATCTTATCCTGCAATTTGTCTACGAGAATACCAGAGATTTAACAAATTGATTTTCACCTTCGAGTTTTTCCTGGAGAAAGCGTAGAACCTGGAACACATGGAGAATATCCGACTGGTGGTGGTGGTGGTGGTGGTGGTGTAGGAAGCGACATAGAAACAGGAGATGAACGACGAGGAAGAGTGCCTGACCTAGTGACATTGTGAAATAGGTACTGTTGCTATCTTCGATCGATTGGGTGCATTGACTGTGGGGAGTGAGTTGGCCTTGTTCGCTACTAACAAGTAGATGTAATGATCGGAAAGACTAGCAGCTACAATAATGATCAGAAAGTGTAGATACCGGATATCCGGTTCGATACTGTACTGCGATAGTGTCAGAATCGACTACTCCGACCAATATGCGAACTCGTCACGATTTGGGAGAAGACACAACGAATGAATGTCAGTAAAGAAATCCATCAACAACACAAATAGTACAGAAAAACCATGTTTCGCAAATTTCCTCAGTTGATGCAGCGACGAGGATTCTCCTCAACAACATCAGCAGGCTTTGACAAGGTCGGAGTGATCGGCCTTGGTTTGATGGGTCACGGAATCTGTCAAGTGGCGGCAGCTTCAGGAGCCCATCAAAGCGTTATTGCCTACGAACAGGAACAAAGGTTCCTCGATTCTGGAAAGGATCGAATTTTCAAGTCTATAGACAAACTCGTTCAAAAAGAGAAAATTACTGCGACGAAAGCAGAAGAGAGTATGAATTCCATCACATTCACCACAGATGTTGATGCCTTGCAAGATACTGATTTCATAGTGGAAGCTGTGATCGAGAATATGGACCTCAAGCGGGATTTGTACACAAGTCTCGGAAATATTTGTAAGCCAGAAACTATCTTTGCTTCTAACACATCGTCGTTGTCGATCACGGAAATGTCAGAATTCTCTGGAAGAGAAGAGAATTTTGTCGGCGTTCATTTCTTCAACCCAGTACAGGTAGGTTGGTTCGCGGCACGATGAATACTCTGGGTACCTTGGAACTATCTCTCAACCTTGTATAGTTGATGAAACTGGTCGAGGTTATTCGGACGGAGAAGACAGACCCAGAAGTCTTCCAAAAAGCATATGATTGGGTCGGTCAGATTGGCAAAGTGGCAGTTAGTTGTGGTGATACTCCAGGTTTCATTGTCAATCGTCTCTTGGTTCCGAGCCTGATGCAGGCCTTACTAATGGTCGACCGACAAGATGCTACAGTGAAGGATATTGATATCAGTATGCAACTTGGTGCAGGCCATCCAATGGGACCGTACGTTCAAATCACGACTAAAGTTTTCTCTGTGATGCATTGTGAATGCTCACTCTATTTTTGTTTTTCCCTTTCTTCGAGCAGTATTCATTTGGCAGACTACATTGGCCTTGATACGTGTCTGTTTATTGTCCAGTAAGAACTTCAAATTGAATACACGCTTGTTCTCTATGTATATCCAATGGTCTGCTCATACCCAACTGAAACATTTGATTCTCTGCAGGGGTTGGATTGAGAAGTATCCCGACGAGCCCTCTTTTGCGCTACCCGGGTGTCTTGTAGAGAAAGTAAATGCCGGTGAACTAGGACGTAAAAGTGGCAAAGGTTTCTATCATTGGGATGGAGACAAGAGAGGAGATCCTGTTTGAAATTAAGCTTTCTAGAGCGAATAAGCAAGAAGTGGCAGAAGCGATAGGCCTTCTTTAAAATAAAATTACAGCAAGTCTAATCAGACTTCCAAGGATGCGGTTCCTCGGCCTGTACTAGCGCATGGAAGGATTGAATTTGTATTTCAAGTCATGTCTATGTACACGACTTTTTTTTTTCCGTATGACGACTTTTCCTTTGATGAGCGGTTGGATCTAGAAAGAGTTGTCCTTGAGGGCAGACATCAAGTTACCAAGAGCACCTTCATCGGTGGTCATTCCTTGCAAGATTTCTCCGGCAGCAGCCCACATAGCAAGGCGGCCATTGGCAATTTCTTGGGCTTCAAGACGCTTGTACTTGTCAGCATCTCCCTTCTTGAAGCCAAGAGGGTCGAGTCCGAAGTCACCAGGGGCTCTCATGCCGGATTCACGGCCTGAAGTTGTGGCAATTCCAGAAAATGCCTCGATGATCATGATCATGATGAGGGCAGCAGCAATATATTGTGGGTGAGATCCCCAGAGTTGCCAGAAAGCCTCCATTTGGTTCTTTGCGGTGGCGGCCTCGCATCCTGGAGCAGGGCCGAAAATTTCAACTTGAAGGACACCGGCCACAGCAAGCATGGCAACACGCGAGTGCTTGATTTCAGCCTCACGAAGCCAGTAAAGGTCGATTCCAACTTCGTCAATGTTAGAAAGACCAAGGGGGTCGAAACCAACGTCTCCTGCCATGGAACCGTCAAGCTACACTCAAGAACAACGGGTACATATGAGCAACAATAAGAATCTAAGGCCAACAGATATGGTCGAAAGAAGGTGGCAAGAAACTCAATTCTTCCCATCTCGGAGCAAAAGAGAAATCGTTTGAAATACTTACGAGACTAGGGCGGTTCATGAAAGGAAGGGACTTGCTTCGCTCGGCATTGAGGGCAACACTGGAGCGTGCAGATTGTTGGGCAGGGGCAAAGGCCGAAGCGGATGCAACAAGGGCGGCAATAGTGGCAAACTTCATCATGGTCGATCTTTATTTTTGTCTTCAACAGTTAGTTTTCGAGCTGACGAGCTCAGGGAACTTGCACGAAAAGATCGCGAGAAGCCATTGTTCAAGAAACAAAATACGTAAGCTCCCACACAAAGAACGTTTCGGGCCCATATTGGATTCCAGATTCCTTTCTACGAACTCCGGACAGACATAAGCACTTTTGAACAGTATTCAGTATTTGTACCGGTACCTGGTACTGTACCAGCACTCCGCTGTACCAAAGAAGTATTATCATATTTTTAAAAAATATAATATAATAAGTGCATTCGAAGATAATAAATTTTTGTGAAAATCTAAAAGTCTGCAGTAACAGCTGCGACTTCTTCAGCCTTCGCTCTTGCAACACGCCTCAAATCGCTTTGCAAAGGATCCAAAAACTGCTTTCGAAAAGGCTCAAAGTACCCCTTGAGGCTAGTCTTTTGCCAGTCTTTCAGCTTTCTACCACTACCGTCATCTTCAAAACTATCCAGCTCAGTCATCAACTGGTCTAAAGTAGGGACCTGGAAAGGATCAAATTCTTCGACCTTCTCCACCTCGATAGGTACGCAGACTCTACCCGTTTTGGGATGAACACAAAATGGACTTTTCAGCAAGTGATTCTGCATCTTGGAAACGTTGATATCCAATCTCGGATACGTGAATTTGAATATAGTTTCGGTGGTCCAGTTCTGAATTGCTTCTTTTTCTTTATCATCAACAGTCTTTGACTTTTTCACTTTGCCTGTCGATCCAAACACAACTTTTAAGTGCTTCTTAAGCTCTTCCCATTTTTCTTCTGGAGCCGATGCAGACTTTGGCCATTCTTTTTTCATTCTTTCCCCAACCGTCTCCTTGGCAGCATTTGGCATTGTGTCAAGAAGTTCCTCCCAATTCTCTTGCGTTGCGAGCAACCCGTGTCCTGATGCTGGCAGCACTGACTCAACAAACATTGGTTCAAGAACGTCACGAGCACGAGCCAACATGGGATGCAGTGGATTCGGAAGAGACTCTTTGTTTTTCTTGTTCAAAGACACCTGGGGAATCGAATACAGTATGAATTAGAAATTTCGACTCAACGAAAATGCCATGACACCATTCAATCGTACCTCAAAGTAGTTTGCAACTGCTGATCTTGCCTCATTCGAGAGCATTCTCGCACTCTCATCGCATACCCAAGCGTGCACTCCACGACGCCCAGAGTAGAACCACGCAATCTTTTCAAAGCCGAAATCTTGTCGCAATCCCTCGTCCATCACTTTCACCGCCATGTTCATGAACTCCCAACATACAGGGCAGATTTTTGCCCCAGTGCAGCCACACCTTCGGACTTCATCATAATCAGTAAGATCAATATCGAAAACGAGTTCTCTCTGAGTAGTCGTGAAGTTTTGAATCGCATTTTTGTCCTTTGGCGGATGCGAAAAGATGGCGCCAATATCAATCTTTCGAGGATTTTTCTTGACAATGGCATCTTTCAACTCCTGTTCCGAACTGAAACTTTGGTAGCGAATGTAGATTTCCTCACCTGGAACTGGTTCAATTGTGAAGGAAAATTCTCTTCTGGAAAACAGTTGCGGTTCTTTCCCCAAAGGATCATAGCTGAGCCATGTGTGCATAAAGTCATATGGAAACAAGCGGGTGTAATACATTTTCAACAACTCTGGACTGAAAACATGAGCTCCTTGTGTTGCTGTAGTCGACGATTGATTCGTCGCGACGGTCTCGTCCGCGTGATTGTCGGTATCCATTATTGTGTGTTAGTTCGAGTGGAGAAAGTTATTGTTGTGGGTGATTTCCAAGGAAAAACAGATTTTACATGCACACCGCATTGGGGGAACATTTTCTACGCTGAACAGCTACACAATGTACCGTACGCGACTAATTTTTTTGGGCGCGAAGAAAAACGGGCCTTTTGAAGTACAGTCCCACAAACTGCAGTATTTGAAGATCGACTATTGTATTATCACTTCACTAGTCATACTCTGCTCTAAAGTTTGACGTGACTTTGCCAAACATTTGAGTTCCTTGCATATTCCCTTGTTCATCTACCTTGTACACGACTGCCGAGCAACCAAGATCTCTCAACGCGGCATATGCCTCATCAAGACTTGCTTGATGACGAGCTGCACAATCCCGCAAAACGTTTTCGGCTCCTGCGTCCAAGAGAGCTTGTTTTGATTTTGGAGGTAATCTGACAGCCATATTTCTCAATGCAAGGGCGCCCTGGCGTTGCAAAGGTACCTTTGTGGGGAACATACGCATAGCACTCAGGATGAATTGTGCACCGCCAGCTTCGCAGATAGCATTCGCGTTATTTGGTTGTCGCAGGGCCATTGAAGCGATTATTCCAAGACCATGTTCTTGAACCAACGGATTTGACGAATGGGTTTCCATGGCATGTAAAATTGATGGAAGTGACTTCTTACAAACTGTAGTTTTGATTTCATCATTGGCACACAAGTTACGCAGTAATCCAAGTGTTGCTGCTGCAAGTGGTGCCGATATCGTTTCATTCGACAGGAGACTGGCATTCGCTGTGTCTAAAAGCCCAACAGCAACCATATTCTGGACAATGTCGTTATCAATTGCCAAGACTCGAAGAGCAGACAATAGCGCACACAGTAGATCTTCTCTGTCTCCGCCTGTACACTTTCTGGCCAACAGATGAAGGACATTCACTGCGCCCGTCTTGTGAAACTCTTTGACATTCGCGTGAGCAGATGACACGGTTGGAGTCTCGCCATCTTTTGGTTGGGCCTCTGCAGATGCCTGAAACTTGCAAACTATATTGATCAGTTTACAAACTTCAATTATGAGTTCGACGGCAGAAGCTTGCTGATTCTGGTCAGTAGGAACCTCTTTTGGGAGGCTATCAAGCAGTAGTTTTAGTCCAGACCGACCACCTTTAGAGCGGTACTCAATGGCTGATCGAACGAACGTCTTTTTATTACTTTCACAAACATTACAACAGATGCGTGCCCATTTGACCAGGGGGGTCGATAGACTTGGATACTTCTCAAAACTGCAACACCATGATTCCTCCAAAGGTTTTCCGAATTGTAGCTTGAGCTCTTTGGCTGATGGGTGATTTGTTGTCACGTCAGGGAGGATTGCCGCCGCAAATTTCAATACAGTATCCAGCTCTTCTTCATCCTGTTCAAACATCAGCAAAATTTTTGAGTCAGGCGCCAATAACCGATTTTGTAAAACCAAACTTGCATATGTTGGCATCGTTTTTCGTTCAGTTTCAATTGCGGTGGCAAGCATGCTGATTGCACCCGACACATCTTCTCGACGAACGCACTCAACGAAATCTTTTTGTTTCTTTCTACTGTCAATCCCTTCTTGAGATTCTGGATGTGTCAGTGAAAGATGATCTAGGAGGACTGATGGATTGCTTGTTTTCAATTCATTTATCGTCTCGATTACTGCCTGCTCATCAGAATACTCGAACAGTTCCTGACTCTCAACCAGAGTATCGTCAAAGAAATCTTGGGATATTAACATTGTATTATGTATTGCTTTTCCTTTATTTTCGTGTACAACAAGCTGGGTCGAGAGAAAAAGTGTATGCTTTTGTTTTGTTTCGTTCCAATGCGACAGACACTCGGAAGGTGCGAGTGGAACGAAAAATGAAATAGATGCGTCTGGCCACACCACCGACTGCGATGTAGTAAAGGGGGCATGAGCTTAATTTTAAAGGGATGACAAAGAGGGAGAGTAATCTGTGTTTGCTTCGTTATCATGAATCAGTACTTTTCACTTTCTTCACAAAGGCAGCCAGTCTTGTCATCAGCTCATCCACTCCTTCTCCCTCTTTGGCACTCATCCACATCAGACGCGTATGGCTCATTGCTTCTATCATTTTTTCTTCAAGTTCGTTGCGTGAAAATTTCGCTTTCAATCCCGTCTCCCAATCCTCTCCTCGGCCTTCCAATGCATCCAGCTTATTGACCACAACAACTTGTGGCATTCGACCTAGTTGGCCTGTTCCATAGTTTACTAATTCGCGGTTGAGCATCTGGAAGTCTGCAACAGGATCATTAGATGTTGCGTCAATCAAGTGAAGAATAACGTGACATCTTTCGACATGGCGGAGAAAGGCATGACCGAGGCCAACACCTTTCGACGCACCAGATATCAGCCCCGGAACATCCTGCGAGGCAAGAAAAGAGTGGGTGTGGTTAATGCAGATCGTAGAGAAATCTTAGACCCAAAAACAATTTTTTACTTGAACTTACACATAGTACAAGACCGTCACTTCCAGCACCATCCCGTGCATCAGCAGCGTACTTGCTATTGTCACCATACGAGGATTCTGAAGGAATCCAAACACCAAGATTTGGAATAATCGTTGTGAAAGGATAGTTAGAGATTTTTGGCTGGGCTCTTGTTGTTTGAGAAAGCAAAGTACTCTTTCCAGCGTTCGGAACCCCCACTAAAGCCACATCAGCAACAATCTTCAAGGTGAGTCTGAGGGTTTTCCTTTCTCCGCCTTGCGGTGAAATTCGAGGCCGTCTGACACCTCGTCCTTTGTTGATCCCAGAGCCTTCCCCCCCTTCACCACCGAGAGCTACTTGCAGTTCTGGATTGTCCAGAACCAGACTCCCAAGCTCGATGAGAGTTTCAGTTCCATCATCTTTCTCCAACAGCTCGTGTACCACTGTTCCTGGAGGAACTCGAATTTGGACATCTTTCCCAAATCTACCATTCTTCATTTGGCGTGCTCCGTCGATTCCATTCTCGGCACGGAAGCTCTTTCTTTGCTCTCGAAAACTGGAACTTGCAGCTGCTCCACTGCCTCCAAATGAGTTCGGTCTCCACGCATTTGTTAATCCAGCCAACGTGTTCAAGGATGCGTCAACAGTGATAATGACATCCCCCCCCTTTCCCCCGTTGCCTCCATCAGGAGGACCGTCTTGCCCCCCCACTCCTTTCTTGAATGTGGACGATCCTTGACCACCACTCCCAGCTCGGACATAAACTGTCGCTTCATCAAAAAAGGAGTATTCGTTTGTACTAGCCTCAACTGCAGTCTCCATGTCCATATTATCTAGCCCATCTTCCATCAGATCTCCTTGTGCTTCCTTCAATGGTCGATTTGGTGAAAAATATGTTATTTCGTCCGTGGTTTCTTCGACATCTTCATTGGCTGGTGTTTGCGAGTAGGTGACAGTTTGACAAGAAGACGGAGTTCTAGTGATCTTGTAACACTTCACCGTCGAAAAACAACATACTGTGTGTTGCTTCAACAAAAACAAGTATATTACCAATAAGTAGGTGATTTGTCTCATTTTGAACCATCCAAATCACTGCATCAGTCAAACAACCAATCAACGCTGTACCGGTATTTGTTTTGGTCTCGATTTTCGATTTGATGTGAATGGTGACTGAGGAAAAGTGAATGAATTAAGACTCATGACTGATATGGTCCAATTAGTCAGCTTTTACAAACAACAGTAGATACCGGTAGATACTGTAGCTACTAGCCACAATAGATCCGTCTCTACAAATCTACAAAATGTCTCCTCAATAACTTTTCAAATTTTTCTATGCTGTATCATTTTGGTTTAATATTGATATCACCATAAGCCTGGAGCTATGCATCAGCAACAATACTACTGGTATAAAGGAGTCCTAGCCCTTTTATAAAAAAAGACTTAATCTGCACAGTGGCCCGTCTCATCTTCCAAGGACAGTTTTAGATACTACAGCACATGTTACCTGGTACCAGGTTCTTGTATTGCACGCCCACACATGTGAAAAAGTAGTACAGTAAAATGCTGCGGGCGCTATGATAAAACTTCTCGTGCAGTTTATAAGGGTCGACTGTTCTTTGTTGTTCCCATCGGTTAGTGAGTCATCAAATGTGACCAAAACGTATTGTGTGCGTGTGTCATGCATGTAGAATCAGTACCATGGAACTTGTCAGTCTGTCCGTTCTGATTTGGATGGTACCCACACACCCGACAGATCAGGAGCCATCACTTTCACACAATTTATTTGTTGTTGACCGAACTGAATTCTACATCTCGTTTTATGACTAGAAATAACCTCAACAACTGCTTGATAATATGATGCTTTCTACCTCTGCTGCCCGTATGGGATGCGTTCGAACGACTCTACGTGAAATTGGGAAACGCAAACTTCATTCTACCGCACGTTGTGTTCGTGGAAGGAAGTCTTTGATGACTCAGAACATCCGCGTTCCTCTTTCTTTCGAGCTTTCTCGTTGGAAGTCAACGATGGCTACCTACAGTGACTCGGAAGACGAGAGTGAATCGGCAAGGTCTCTCGGCCATGCTGAAGCCTCCAAGGCGAGATCGGTTTCCTCGTAAGTCTTGCTATTTGAAGTCCTTTGTCGTCGTCGTTGTCGTCGTCGTCTAATCATGCCATCTGCCAGTCATGAGGAAGCGTGGATGATCAACCTTGGACGTGATGGAAACAATGAATGGCTTAGCACTCAACGTGATGCAGACGAATGGTTTACTGGCTTGAAACCATCCATTTGCGCTGGATCTGATGCCAATGGGAAGATTCGGTCGCTGGCCTTGCCAAAATTGGATACTGTGACGCGTCAAGCAGCCAAGGAATACTTTGATAACTCTTGGACTCTTTATGAAACTTTGTTCGCTGGGCTCAAGGGTGAGGAAGGTTTCTACCGTCCGCCACCCCACGGTCTCCGTCACCCACAAATTTTCTACTATGGACACACCGCTTGTCTTTACGTCAACAAACTTCGAGTCAGTGGTGTTCTCTCCAAACCTGTGAATGCATATTTTGAATCCATCTTTGAGGTTGGAGTAGATGAAATGCTTTGGGACGATATGCATAAGAATGACATGTTGTGGCCAACTGTCAAGGAGGTCCATGAATACCGTAGACAGGTCTATAGTGTTGTCGTTGACGCGATTTTGAATCACCCCAGCTTGGACGACTCCAATGGACGTGTGGAAGTCGATCAATCGCATCCCATGTGGGCTCTTTTCATGGGCTACGAACATGAAAGAATCCACTTAGAGACAAGTTCTGTGCTTTTCCGTGAGACACCCTACCATCTTGTCCAAGCTCCCGAAAACTGGCCCCCTATCCACCCTTCTGCTGATGGCAATAGGCCCTCTTCCAACCCAATTGAGAGTATCGACTATCCAAGCAATAGAATGATTCCTGTGACTCAAGGAACCGTGGACCTTGGCAAGCCTGCTGACTTCCCTTCGTTTGGATGGGACAACGAGTATGGCGAACGTAACTTGGATGTCCCCGACTTCCAGGCCAGTGAGTTCATGGTCTCGAACGGAGAGTTTTATGAGTTCGTCAAGTCTGGTGGTTACCGCAACAAGGAAAACTGGTGTGATGACAGTTGGGCATGGAGAACCCACAGAAACATGAAATGGCCTTTCTTCTGGGAACCAGCTGGTCCAGCAGGGTCGCACGAGTATAAGCTACGTACCATCTTCAAAGTAGTTGACATGCCATGGGATTGGCCAGTAGACGTAAACTACTACGAAGCAAAGGCTTTCTGCCGATGGAAGGTAAGTAAAAGCCCGTCAAATGACGCAATCGAAACTTCAGTTCTAGGTCATCTCATCCTTGTTTTGTTCCTTATAAGACTCGCAAGGACGGATCTCCCACTTCTAAACCTTACCGTTTGTTGACCGAGGCTGAACATCATCTTATCCGTGATGAGAATAGCAATCTTGCAGCAGCTCGCAAGAATGTTCTAGCTGATAAGGTCATGGCAACGTCGGGTGGAGAATTCCCAGAAGGCTCACATGGAGCAAACTTGAACCTTGCATTTTCGTCGCAGAATCCAGTGGACCACTTTGCCCCATCACACACTGGTCATAGAGATACTACTGGTAATGGTACGATAACGACATGCTTCGAAAGGGGCGTTGTTTTCTTTGATTGCGTGGTCCCTCACACAAACTTTCCACTTTGCAGCTTGGGAATGGACCGAAGATCACTTCAATCCTTTGAAAGGATTCGAAGTTCATCACGTCTACGATGACTTCTCTACACCTTGCTTTGATGGCAAACACAGTATGATTGTGGGGGGTTCCTTCATTAGTACTGGAGATGAAGCTTCGGTATTTGCTCGATTCCATTTCCGTCCACATTTCTTGCAACATTCTGGGTTCCGACTAGTGGCTTCTCATGACGATGCCCCTGCAACCCACTTGTTTGCTGGAGCTTTCGAAGGACAAGTTGCAGCACGGGACGCCATGCAGTCAGAAAGAGAAGAAATGGACACTGTTGGAACTTCTAACGTCTACGAAACCAACGAAAGTCTCAACATGTATCTAGGGTTGCATTACCCTGCATCTGGTGAGAAGGAAGCTGTTGCTCCCATTCTCCCCCATGCTAATGCGCCAAACCACGGAGTTGGATTCCCACAACGCGTGGCACAACTTCTGTCTACTTTGAACCCTGAGAAGACTACCAACCGTGCTCTTGATATGGGCTGTGCCGTTGGTGGTGCTTCCTTCGAATTGGCAAAGAACTTTGACCAAGTGGACGCATTTGACTTCAGTGAAACTTTTGTCAATGCTGCCAAGAGGATGCAGACGGGGGAAGCAATCCCTTTCCGCGTCCCAGTTGAAGCTGAACTTTTCGAAGAAGTGAACGCCGTCCATGAAGCAGGTACCAAGGCTGCAACACTCGATAAGGTGAACTTCTTCACTGGAGATGCCTGTAAGGTTGTAGAAATGGCATCAGAAGGTACCCTTGGAACGTATGATGGTGTTATCATGTCTAATCTTTTGTGCCGACTACCCGACCCAATGGCATGCCTCAATGGGCTAAGTACTGTGGTAAATAAGGGCGGTATTGTGGTTATGGTCACCCCGTTCAGCTGGTTGGAAGAATTCACCCCTCGAGCCAAGTGGTTAGGTGGTTTCTATGACCCTGTTTCCAAGCAGCCCATTGCCTCCAAGGACGTTTTGAAAGAAGTTATGGAAGATCGTGGATTTGTCAAGATTCATGAGGAAGAGATGCCTTTGGTAATCCGAGAACATCAGAGAAAGTATCAATACATTGTCAGCGAGGCATCTGGTTGGCGTAAGGAAAAGTGAAGGACGAGCTAGCTAGTTACGATACTCGTACAGTACCGGTATAACTACAATATGTAAATTAGAGCAGATTGTTTTTGGGCTGTGATGGAACAATAAAAAGAAGTCGGAGTAGTCGTATGCGCTAGTTGCTCGCTTCGCTTCCACGTGACACCAACGCACGATTCTACTTCAAGTGATGGCCCTCCACAACATCTCCATCGGCTCAAGTGTACATCAGCGTTGGTGCAACTTTTGTCGAGATTACTAAGATTTGACGCTTCATCGTCTGAATAGTAGAGATCGGAACTATGAAATTTTATTCAAGTCAATCTCTTCTGCTGCTCGCCGCACCATTGTTTGTATCTGGAGCACTATTTCAAAGAAATTCCCTGTCGACTTCATCTTTAAGTCAGCGCACTGATCTCTTCGGTGTTTCAAAACTTTCCCACATTGCCAGGGGGGGCTCCCAAGAAAACGAAGAGGCTGAAGTAGAGACACTGTACCTTCCAGGACTCTTGGATGCTGAGCTAGCTTCGTCATCGGAGGTAAATTGTCTCTAGTTACAACAGTGTTCGAATTGCCGCCGCTTCTTATATGTCCTCTTTTTGCATCTAAGCCAACTGTATCGTCTGATTCAACAGTAGTCATTTCACCATCCAAAGCGAAGGAACTTTCTTTAAAGAACGAAGATGTCGTTGTAGTGATTGGTCGTCGCCGGAAAGCAGCCTATGGTCGTGTGAGTATTTCCAAAGGGAGAAAGTCCGTCTGCACTATTAGTGAGAACCTCGCAAAGAACTTGAGGCTGCGCAAGGGAGACAAATTGAAGGTCGTTCCTTTGACAGGGGATGTGGAATCTAGAAGCGGTGACATGATTTTATTTCAACATTCTGCTGCGCCCAAGATTACATCTGCGACATTCGCACCTGTCGAAGATTCCCTGTCGACTCTTGAAGCAATGGAAGGAGGTGACGAAATCGCTGACGAAGATATTAAGTCTCGTTTCGTAGACCCATACCTTCAATCTTTTGATGGGCTCCTGAAACGTGGCCACATTCTTCTCCTCAAAGATGAGAATGGAAGAAAGCTTGAATTCATTGTTACCCACATGGAAGTTGAAGGACAAGTACCTGCCGAAAGCGAAGAGAAAGACGAGGAAATTGTCGTTGCCGGTGAAATGAGTGCCTCGTCTGCAGTCGCCTTGGGTGGTGCCATCGAGCGTCCAACTGTTGGATTGGGATACGACTCTGTTGGAGGATCTGAAAAGGCTGTCCAGCTCATGCGCGAGCTAGTTGAGCTCCCACTACGATTCCCCGAACTCTGGACTACTGCAGGTGTACCTTCGCCAAAGGGTGTTTTGTTACACGGACCACCTGGATGTGGTAAGACATTGATTGCCAATGCTCTTGTCGAAGAAACTGGTGCACACATTGTGATCATCAACGGACCCGAAATCATGGCAAGAAAGGGAGGAGAGAGTGAAGCCAACCTTCGTCAAGCATTCCAAGAAGCCCAAGAAAAGGCTCCTTCAATTATCTTCATGGACGAGCTTGATTCAATCGCTCCAAAGCGTGATCAAGCGCAAGGTGAAACTGAAAAGCGTGTCGTCTCCCAACTTTTGACCCTCATGGATTCGCTCAAGGGAAACAGTAATGTAATGGTCATCGGTGCCACAAACAGACCGAATGTTATTGAGTCAGCCCTTCGCCGACCTGGGCGTTTTGATCGTGAGCTTGAAATCGTCATTCCTGATGAAGATGGACGACATGAAATTCTTAAAATCAAAACCAAGGATATGCAACTTGAAACCGACGTTGATCTGTTTCAAATTGCGCGTGACACCCATGGTTATGTCGGTGCCGATCTTCAGCAATTGACTCTCGAGGCTGCTCTCCAATGCATTCGATCAAACATGGGAAGCTTTGATGTCGACAGTGAAGATCCCGTTCCAGAAGATGTTCTTGACAACCTCCTAGTCACCAATGAACACTTTACCCATGCACTCAGTGAATGTGACCCTAGTACCTTGCGAGATAACAAGGTCGAGGTTCCAGACACCAAGTGGGCCGATATTGGTGGATTAGAAGAGACCAAGCGTGAACTCCAAGAAATGGTTAGATATCCAATCGAGCACAGGCATCTTTTTGAACGATTTGGGATGCAAGCATCTCGTGGAGTTCTTTTCTACGGCCCACCTGGTTGCGGAAAAACGCTTATGGCAAAGGCGATTGCAAATGAATGTGGTGCCAACTTTATCTCTGTCAAGGGTCCTGAGCTCTTGAACGCATGGTTCGGTGGATCTGAAGCAAATGTTAGAAACTTGTTCGATAAAGCTCGTGCTGCAAGTCCATGTATTCTTTTCTTTGATGAAATGGACTCTATTGCACGTGCTCGTGGCTCTGGTGGTGGCAGCTCCGAAACCAGTGACCGTGTCATTAACCAAATTCTTTCAGAGATTGATGGTATGGGATCAGGAAAGACGCTATTCATTATTGGAGCTACAAACCGTCCAGATATTTTGGACCCTGGTATCATGCGCCCTGGTCGTCTTGACCAGCTTATCTATATCCCACTTCCCGATAGGGAGTCAAGAATTTCCATCTTCAAGGCCAATTTGCGCAAAAGTCCAATATCTAATGATCTTGATATTGAGCAACTTGCGGACGCGACTGACGGTTTCTCAGGAGCAGATCTCACCGAGATTTGCCAACGTGCAGCAAAGAATGCTATCCGTGAAAGCATCACTGCCGAAATTGAGCGAGAAGAGCGAGTCGAAGCCGGCGAATTGAGCCAAGAGGAAGCAGATGCTCTTCCTGATCCAGTTCCAACGATTACCCGAGCCCACTTTGAAGCTTCCATGACCAAAGCCCGTCGTTCGGTTGGTCCCGAGATTATCAAACAATACGACGATTTCTCCGCAAAGATCAAGCAACAATGGAGTTCCAATGGTGCAGAGGATGCAAACGCTTACGATATTGATTCTGCTGCTGCCGAGCAAGCTAGAGAAGATGCAATGCTTGACGGTGTTGACGAGGAGGAAGAAGCTGTTCCCGCTACTGGAGGAGAGGATTAATTGTAAATATAATGCATTTGAACTAGAATCCACAATTGAATTAATATGTTGGCTATAAACTCAATTGTTTCCACTAAACTTATACTGTTTTGCGGACCTTGCTCCACAAGTTTCTAATCTGTTACGAAGTACTCATCTCTCTTTCGGAGGATCGATAAACCATGCATAAAAACCGGCGCCGAGAACTACGCTCGCAACTACAGCACAAATCTGGCGGTTAACAGTTTGAATCAAAAAGCGAAAATTGCACAGCGGAAACTTACCTGCCACGAATGTGGCATCGGGGGCTTTCGTATCAGATCCTACTCCCAGATAGCCTCTCGACCAAGTCATCTTAGACTTTGTTTTGGCGCGGTCCGTCTTTGTTGTGACCTTGCGAGCTGCTTCAAACCATGAATTTCGGGCGGCAATCCGCCCAATCTTGGAAATGGAATTCCTTCCGGCAGCAACAAACGTCATCGTGAACAGAAATTGATGGCATCAAAGCAAGCAACGTAAGGAAAGTGAAATTAATTTCCCTCCGACCACCACGATCAAATTTTGCTTTGGTCACATCAACAGTTGTCCATTTTTCGACCACCACGAATCGTTCAAAACCATTCAACCCTCGAAAAAAGCAACAAATCACCAATAATCAATGGACTATGACGTCTGACAAGTCAACGACGACTGCTTCTCTCGAAGAAACCTTGCGAAAAGTAGATGCCTCCCTTCTGCCATCAATTGAAAACACGGTATCGAGTACGACGTTCTCAAAAGAGGATATGCTCGATTTTCTGGATGTTAAGAGTAGCCTGATGGCATCGTACATGATTGATTTGACGCTATATATTCGAAACAAGAATAGTGGAAAGGTGGACGAGAAAAACATCCGTCGGCTCACAGAGATGAAAGTTGCTTTGGATAAAATGCGAGGATTAGACAAGAAGCTTCGTTATCAAATTGAAAAACTTCTGAACGCAGCTACTTCAGCGTCCACGTTTGCTTCTGCTGGCGACAACTTTGGCCCAGAAGATCCACTGCAGTTCCGAGCGAATCCAGAGCTTATGGAAGAGAAGGCAGACGGCTCTAGCGATGACTCGTTCGCGTCTGATGGTGATGACATGGAGGAAATGGGTGGAAAGAATGGTGCTGACGAAGACGACGACTTGCAAGCCGCCCGAAAGACAGTTTCTCTTGCCAAAGACAAGAAGAAACGCGGGGAGGCTGAGTCAGAAAATGGGCTGTATCAAGCTCCACGCCTTACTGCTGTTCCTTATACACACGACGTTGAAGGAAGGCAAAAAGAGAAGGAAAAGAGATCCAAACGTCGTCTCCGGGCGACAGAACTTGCACAAACTTTGCGTGCGGAGTATGGGGATACACCGGAGCAAGAAGACATGCACGGTGGCAGTGATTACGGAAAGCAGCGTGCTGCTGCACGTCGTCTGGCAGAACGTGAGGCAGAGAAGACAAGAGCCGAGGAAGCAGGCATGGTCCGCCTCATTACTTCGAAGAAAGACAAGAAAGAAAAGAAGCGTATATTGCGGATGGAAAGTAGCAACCTCGGTGCTATTTCAGATTTGAGCAATCTTGTTCGAGAGGCGAGAGATTTTGGTAGAGAAGATGGAAGTGATGGTGACGGCGACTTTCCTGATAGTGCACCAGTTGAAGATCCCGGAGACCGCCACCACAATGGAAAGCGGGTCCGAAGCCGTGATACGTATAGTGAAAGATCTACGAAAAAACGTGGAAAACCTGGAAAAGCAAAGAACTCACTTCAGGCTGCTTTGTATGCTACCGGTAGTGAGGGAAAGACGAAGTCCAAAAAGAGTAAACGGTAATAAAAACTATTTAGGTACTATTTGATGTCGTCTGTCAATCGAAGGTGGAAATCACACATCAAATCAAGAAGAATGAATCACATCAACTCTCGACCCCGAAACATTTGTCAACATGAAGATCTTCTTCTTACTGTGCAGCATTTACACAGTTACAAACTGTTTTGTACCTTTAGCACCTGCTAGAAACATTCGTACACCAGGTCGCTCTAGCCATGCACTATACGGGAAGAAAAAGAAGAAAGGTGGTGCGGGTGGTAGTGGTGGAAAGCCTCGCGGAGGACAACAGCAACAGGAAAAACAATCAGTAAAGGATGCTCGGTTTGATGCTGCCACCAGGTCTTTCATGTTCACGCTAGTCGGCTTGACTAAGATCCTACCTGACAAATCGAAGAAGATCCTGGACAATGTCAATCTTTCTTTCTATCCTGGAGCAAAAATAGGTTTGTCCTCAAGATCTATTCGAAAATCTTGAAGAAAGCCGTCTCACCCACAACTCTACACCGTCTCATAGGTATCGTGGGTTTAAATGGGAGTGGAAAGAGTACACTGTTGAAAATAATGGCTGGCGTTGACACTGAGTTCGATGGGACAGCTAGACCTTTGCCTGGAGCATCAATTGGCTATTTACCTCAAGAGCCTGTCCTTGAATTCGAAACAGTGCAAGAGTGCATCGATGAAGCCGTCCAATCCTCTCAGGCAATCCTTGACAACTACAATGAGCTAAGTATGAAGCTAGCCGACCCTGACATCACTGATGATGAAATGACCAATACCCTGGAAAAAATTGAGGTATTGAATGATCAGATTGAAGCCGGCGACTTGTGGGAACTTGAACGAGTTGTCAACCGTGCTATGGACTCTTTGCGCGTTCCTTCTGGTGATGCAAAGACAGCTGTGTTGAGTGGAGGAGAAAAGAGACGTGTTGCGCTTTGTCGGTTGTTGTTGCAAAACCACGATATGCTTCTATTGGACGAGCCTACGAATCACTTGGATGCTGAGTCTATTGGTTGGTTGGAGCAGTTCTTGGATCAATTCAAGGGCACTGTTGTTTGCATTACGCACGACCGTTACTTTTTGAACAATGTCGCCGGGTGGATTCTAGAGTTGGACAGAGGCGCTGGAATTCCACATGAAGGAAACTATGCCGACTTTTTGGAAGCCAAGGAGAAGCGCCTGGCAGAAGAGAAGAAACATGAAACGGCCAATGCCAAGGCAATTTCAGCCGAACTCGAATGGATTCGAACTAATCCCAAAGCACAGGGAAATAAGAGCAAGGCTCGCCTAAATCGTTACGATGAGTTGCTTGCGGCTGCAGCACCAACGGAACTACGCAACGCCGGTCAGATTTACATTCCTCCTGGTCCGCGCCTTGGAGATGTTGTCATTGAAGTTTCAAATCTGAAGAAGTCATTTGGAGATCGTCTATTGATCGACGACCTCACTTTTTCCCTTCCACCAGCAGGCATTGTCGGTGTTGTCGGTCCAAATGGTATGGTATTCACTTTTTCCCTTAATGTTCTGATAGCTTGCACAACCGTCCGTAGAACTTACCAAAGCTCGTTTTTTTACTCTTAGGTGCCGGGAAGAGTACATTGATCAAAATGCTCACCGGAAAGGAGCAGCCGGATGATGGTGAAGTCAAGGTTGGCGAAACTGTCAATATCGTATCTGTTGGACAAGAACGTATGGACGAATTGAATGGCGAAAAGACAGTCTTCGAGTGAGTGTCTGAAAGTGTGAGGCTGCGTTGTTTTTCATTGCGCTGGCGACTAAAACCCTTTTCTCCACCTTCAAGAGAAATTTCCGGTGGCCTTGATGAGATAGAACTAGGCACGCAAAGTGTTATGTCTCGCGCATACTTATCTTGGTTTGGCTTCAAGGGTCAATCACAACAAGCTCGTGTTTCAAACCTGAGTGGAGGGGAGAGAAACCGTGTGCAACTTGCTAAGCTGTTGAAGGCTGGTGGCAACATGATCATCCTAGACGAGCCCAGCAATGATCTAGATGTTGAAGTTCTACGTAGTCTCGAGGATGCTCTGCAACTTTTCGCCGGCAGTGCCCTTATCGTTAGCCACGATCGATACATGTTGGATCGAATCTGCACTCACATTTTAGCCTGTGAAGGCGATTCCAAGTGGTTCTTTTTCCCAGGCAATTATGCGGAATATGAAGCAAACCGAAAGGAGAGATTGGGAGAAACTAGCATCAAGCGAATCACTTACGCCCCTCTTGTCAATGCATAAAAGTTGTACTTAAGGCAGCCTATTGTCTAGATGGTTCCTTTCCTACTAGCAGTCTTCTAGATGAGTCAGAAATTCGTTCGCGAACCATCATCATGAGGGCACTCTTCAGAATGGTATGCAATAGCTGCCAATCACACCCTTTGTATAGTCCTCTTATGCCCTCTTCTTTATATGACTTTTGTAGAGTGTTTATCAAGCTGGTCTCTGAAGTTACCATCAAAATCACCTTTGCTCTTATCAAAGGATATGTTGCTATAGTAGCCACGAACTTTGCAAAGAGGCCTACCAAGAATGCTTCTGGCATGCTCAATTTGTATCCTTCTTGCTTTCGTCTCTCCAGTATCCTTACTTTTGTCAGATCAAACGCCGTGTAATGTATGGAGGGGTTGCTGCATAAGAGTAGGGCCGGTATAAGCCCTTTCCACAAGCTTTTGAGGTAATTTAGATCTTTACCCTCGTAATACTTCTTGAAGACAGCACTCATATCCAACGATTCAAACGAGGGGAAACTTTGCAGAGATTGACTTCGTCTTTGATCACTAGTCGTATTTGATTCCAACACCTCTGTTTCCTTCCCTTGCGGCATGTCTGAGTCATTATCAGAATCTTCTATCAGTATCATTGACGAGTCTTTGAATTCGGAAAGAGATTTGTCGTCATCATTTTCTGCAAGTTGCTCCCACACTTCGTCCATTGCGCTATTTTCTTTTGCAGAACCATCAACTGTAACTTCCGTCAACTGCTTGGATGACAAAACATCCAGAGGTAAGGTGATGAGAGTATTCATCATAGCGGCAACTGCAGACAGAAAGAGTCTTGTCGCAGGATTGATTTTGTGCTTCGGTATATTATATCGCTGCTTCCATTTGTTGAATATAAATGAATAGAAGAAGAAGTAACAGAAACTAGACGACGTCGTATGCAAAGTCTTTGAACGACACCCTTGAAACAAGGATCTATGTTTGCTTTCTTGTTGAGAGGAGCCAACTTGTCGATTCGATTTGATGACTTCAATGGGGTAGAATGTCCAAAGAGAGACTAAACTACCTGCAACCCCGGAAACTGCATCGGCCAACGCCTTTTGTCGTTCCAGGTTCCTCCTGTTCGTCATTTGTCATGTAGATGTACAGTATACGTATAACAATAATAATAATACCAGTGGAGTGATACAGGTACTCACTCGTACGGTAGAGTTGAAATAAAATTATGGTCCACGCCAATCACGTGAGTGACGTCACAAACTTTTTGAACCGTGACAGTTCCTTCTCCACCACTACAGTATCGGTACGTGTACATCACACATCACACAAAAAGCGAACGACAACCAGAGATGCGCGTATCAATCACCTTAGTTTCTGCCGTGCTATTGGCATTGGAGAATACTTCAGCATGGCTTACTCCACATGTTTCGCCTTCGCCCATAAGGGCCAGAAGTTGGGAGACGAGTCCAACTTGTAGCAGGACAAAGCAAGAGCAACGAAGAAATCGCCGATTGTTGATGGCTGATGTTGACACTGGCGATGATTCCACGCTGGCTGACGAAGAATGGAGCGTGATTGCAAATCTGTACCAGCAAGCAGCAGGAAATCCAAGTACACTGAGTAAGCTAGTCCTTGAGGCTTTGCCTACTTTAAACCCTTCGTTAATCATGAAACTTCGTGGTGCCATCCTGGACTCTCGTGATGAGTTTGTTGCAGTCCAGAATGCATTGAACTCTGTGCTGGATGCTCGACTTGCTGGTGCTCGGGATGTCTTGTTCGAATTTTTGAATGCAGGAGAGATCCGAAAACTTGATTCCCTGATCGGAAAGGCTGCGAGAGATGGAAAACTAGACGTCGCATTCTTCCAAGTCCTGAACATGAACTTGCAAGACGCTTCACAAGAACAGGCCGACGACGGAGATGAGAATACTGCTAACAGATTCCAAATATTACAACACATCTACACGCGATGCCAAGAGGAGGTCGAGAAGACCATCCCTCCAGGTGTTGCGCTTCTCAATAAGCTCCTTCGAACAGATTCTCCATCCATTCGGTCCAACCAATTGGTACACTATCTCTGCCCCCAGTCCAATGTCATTACTGCACCAGATGGCAAAGAGGTCAAGCTGGAAGGCAGAGAAAAAATCCTCGTGTCACACGCTGACTTTGTGGGTGCCATTGGCAACGCCGTAATACAAATTCGAAACGTGGAGAAAGCTGGTGCAGCCAATCGTGAAGTATCAGCGAATATGGTCGAGGCGGTTCGAACGGTGGCAAAAGAAGCCCGCGTTACGATTGCTGATAAGTTTGGGGTTGAAAGTAAGGAACTACAGGATTTTGAGGCTGGTTTGATGCCGGTCTTCCGACCATCTTCCCCAGAAAGTTCGTACATCAAAGGCGAATAAGTTACGACCAATCCCAAAGCGAGAGTTTTCGTTTGCAGTGAATAATTACATCTTAAAAAAGCAGTTCCCTCTTTAACGCCACCTAGGTATTGAAGAATCGATCTCCGTAGTCACCGAGCCCTGGAACAATGAACTTGCTTTCATTTAATTTTTCGTCCACTACGACGGTTACTATTTTGACTGCTGGAAAATTTGTAGCCATGCTTTATTCAGATCGACAATCATTGAAAGGAAAAAGAAACGGTTAGAAAACATCACCCAACAATATGCATGGCATGTCTTTCGCTATTCTTACCACTGTAGTCCTTCCGGTGCACAGATCATATTTGCAAAGATAATCTTTGCAGGATCAACATTGTGTTTGGATACCAAGGTGCCAATGGCCATGGTAGCACTGCCACCTGTTGCCAGCATTGGATCACAAAGCAGAATATACATGTTCTCAACCCCAGGAGGCATTTTACTGTAAAAAAGTGTGGGCCGCTTTTCGGGGTCACTTTCGTCTCGTTGAATCAATATTTTCCCCACTCGCACCGCTGACTCCACATCTCGAACAGACTCTAAAAGCGCATCACCGCTGCGAACAATGGACACAGCCTTCATGTAGGTAGGAAAAAGGGGTAAAAGATTCCGAGTGAGTTGATTAGTCCGAGTATCGTAGCAGACACTGCAAGGTGTAGACTCACACAAATGGTTGTTGGATCTGGTCCTTCAACACCTTGAAAGGGCCCACAAGGGGTATGAATATCCACCGGTTTGGTTGGAAATTCAGCGAGGGCATCTTATATGCGACAATATGTAGTGAGTACATGAAAAGTACTCGACAAGATAGGACAGGGGATGAGCACAACCTCACCTTCTGCAAGAAGTCGCATCGATCGCTTCGCATATCGAACAAAGGATTCCGACGACGTCGTTTCATCGCGCAGCTTAGTGAACAAAATGCTATGTGCCTTTGTATTTTGGCAAATGACAAGGTTTGGGTGCAAGGAGGAGAGCATGATCTTGGGATTGTTGAATGTCACGGAATGTGTGAGGCAAATACAGGAATAGAAATGAGTTCCCGCCTGTTCATCGTTCTGTAGACTGGAATTACCCGCTATCGAATGGTGCGACTACTCTTTCTACTGGGCAGAAAAGATACCGAAGTGAGGTTTCAAATACATTATGCTTACAAGAATGACTGTTACCCCTCCCCCCCCCCCATAATATCAATCATTTAGTTTCCCGACTACAGTACCTGAAAAGAAGGATTCACCAACTAAATGAAGACAATGTCATCGTTGAGTTTCTCTTCTTTTTCGTTGGCTTTTTCGATGATTTTAGCACCAATTTGAATGGTCTCCAAAAAGCGTCTCTCCTTGGCCATCTGTAGCTTCGCCTTTTCTTTGGCTGCTTCCAATGCTTGTTTGGCAGCTACTTGGCTGGCTTGATGAGCAGCCTGGAGCGTCTCCATTTTGGTCTTGTGCTCAGAGCGAATCTGCTCTTCCTTGTCGATCATCGTCTGAAGTTCCTGTTCCAACATGCCCTTGGTGATTTGTCTTGCGGAAGCCCGAGTTTTGACTTCATCTTGCTTCTCCTTCAATTCGGATTCCAACCTGGCTACCTTCAGGGACACTTCATTCTTGGTCTCCATCTTGTTGGCCAAGGTTTCTTTCTGCTCGTTTTGGGCTTGGACCAGTGCAGCGTGATGCTTTCCAATTTGAGTGGCAAGTTGCTCCTTCTCTTGAGCCAAACGAGAGCGTTCTTCTTCTCCAGACTTCATCACAGTTTCTTCTAGTCGATCGTTTTCCGCCTTCTTCTTGAAGACCTTGTCGTGGAGCTGCTGTGCATTCCCCAAGGCCTCCTTGGACTCCTCGAGTTCTTGATTGGCCTTTTCTTGTTCGGCAGTGAGTGTCTCGAGCAGCTGGAGTAGTTTCCCGTTTTCTTCCTGTTCTGTTCTAAGAGTTTCTTCATGAGTCTTGCGAGCTTGACAGAAGTCGTTGTAGTATGCTTCCTGCTGTTTCAGCTCTTCCATTCGTGACTTCACTAGTCCATGAGAGGACTTGGTGGCTCCAAGTTCTTCCTTTTGCTTCGAAAGAGAATCAGCCGCATTGGCCACCTTCGACTTCATGTCTACTTGTTTGACTTCGTTGTCGGCTCTGAGTGCTTTGATCTCCTTGGTCTAATGGTAGGCGTATTTCGTGTCGTCGAAGTGGGTGAAAAGGAACGAAATTGGCAAGCGATTTTGTTACAGTGTAAGTTTGCGAACCGAGCAATATATATAAAAAAAACTAGCAAGCAGATTTTCCGTACCTTGTCTGCCAATTGTTGGGCATGGTTTCCACATTGGGATCGGACCGATTGTACCTTTGCCACGAGCTGGTCACGACGCTGTGATTCATTCTGGACATCGACGTGAGCGTGCTGGTTCTTCTGCTGGGTTTGTTCGAGGACGGCCACCAAGCCTTCGGATTGAATGCGTTCCAAAGTCCGATTCTTTTCCATCACCCAATTTTGATTTTGGTTGCGGAGTTTGTCGCCTTGTGTTGTCTGTTCTTGAATGGATTGGACTAGTTGCTTGAGCATTTCCTCTTTTTCCTTCAAGACTTCTTGGTTGGTCTTGGAAGAACCAGACTTTTCCTGCCCTTCGGAGACATCAGGAGAAGGTGGGTCTTTCAATGAAGTAACATTCAAAGTATCTAGGACACTGACGGGACTCTTTCGACATTCGGGCAACACGCCTGTGGGACGGGCTACATCCGTGTTGAGTGTTGTATCCAATCCGTTCAAGAAGCTAGAATGGACTTGGGCATCCTCCAAACGATCGGCGGCTCCTCGGCTTAGATTGCGCATTTCGCAAAAGGTATGGTGAAGATCTTGTTGGAGCTGCTTTTGGAGGCGTTGCTCCTGCTGATGAGCTTGGGTTCCCTTGGCAAGCTTGGCAACAATTTCTTGAATCTCGGAGCGAATTTCGCGGCGAAGGTCCTCGGTCACGTTGATGGATGTGCCAAAATCCAGGAGGAAAGGATCGACACTCGTAGATGCTGAATCATGACTGTTGGTGCTGGAAGGAGCCGATGCTTCGAAGGCGATGGGGCGAGAAGATTCTTGACTCTGACTGGATTGGATGGTGTTCTTGTTCCAGCGATGCATGATGGTGGGTAGTATTGAGGACAATGACGGGATTATTTATTGGTTGTAGATGCAGTAGCAATATCAAATCTCAGAGCAGTAATCAAATGCAGGGATTTGATTGTCGTACGCGATGGAGTCACTGACAATCTGTCTCGAGAAGTTCAAAAGTTTGTGTTGTTCAAAGTGTTCAAAGTGTTCTTTTGATGCGAAGAATTATTTCAATTTGAAAAACAGAACAATAATTGGCGCGGTCAAAGTGAGTCGACTCAAACGATTGATTCTAAATTGAAAATATTAGAAAATAAATACCGGTACACGTCATAGGATGAAAAACTGATACGAAGGACCCAAGAAGACACCAACACGTACTTTTCTATTTGTTTTGACAATTCAAAGATTCTTCATTACCATGACACTTGTAATTATTACTGGAGGAGGCGGTTTCCTAGGCCAATGCCTTGCCACTGCTTTGCTCAAGAGATCCACTATTGGAATTGAAACATCGGAGGGGACTACGGAAGAGGCTTCCATTACCAAGCTCGTTTTGGCCGACATTGCGTTCCCCCCCTCCTTGCAACCTACCATTGAAGCAGCTGGCAGCCTTGTGGAAAAATTACAGGGCGATGTATCGGACGAGAAATTTTGTAGTGAGCAACTGTTCTCTTATGTGACCGATTCCACCAAACACGTTTCCATCTTTCACATGGGTGCCGTCATGTCGGGAACGGGAGAGAAGGACTTTGACTTGGCCATGAGAGTCAATCTCTATGGCACTCTCAACATGCTGGAGGGAGCAAGAAAACACATTTTCGAAAAATTCGGTTTCGCCGCAAAGTTCATTTTCACTTCTGCTGGAGCCACCATTGGATCGGGAGCACCAACGGATTACGTTCAAAAGGAGGATTGGATCTCGGACGCCTCCCGAGCTACACCTCACACTACCTATGGCATGACCAAAGCCTGTTGCGAGTTGCTTATGACGGACTTTTCCAGACGAGGCTTTGTTGATGGCCGTGCTGTTCGTCTTCCTTCCATTGTGGTCCGTGCCGGGGCTCCCAATGCAGCTACCACTTCTTGCTTTTCGTCCGTCATTCGAGAACCTCTGTCTGGTATTGATGTTGTCCTTCCCATTGCTGACAATGTGCCACATGCGGTGACTGGAACCCGAGCCGCCATTAACGCCATGATGACGGTTCATGATGCTAGTAGAGCCGAGATCGAAGAAGTGCTTGGCTTTGACAGAACGGTCTTCCTACCAGCAGTTGCCGTGTCGTTGGGAGAACTCCAAGAAGCTTTGTACAAGGTTGTCACACCAGCTAGCAAAGGGAAGCTCGGAGCAATCACATATGAGGTGGATGATTTTTTGTCCAACGTTGTTGGCGGCTTTCCTACGAAAATTGATGCCAGTCGGGCGTTGCAACTGGGTGTTACACCTGCACCCAATGCTGAAACTCTGGTACGCGAGTACATAAAAGACTTTTCGACGGCACTCGTGGACGGCATTGAAATCGTGCCTCCAACCAGTGGATCGCCAAAGGCAATGGTAGACGAAAAGGTAGCAGTCATTACAGGCGGAGGCAGTGGTATTGGACGTGGGGTAGCGGTTCGATTAGCAGAAGATGGCTGGTCTCTGGTTCTCGCGGGAAGAAGAATGGCAACGTTGAAAGAGACACAAAAGATCTTGGGTTTGGCTGATGACAAATGTCTTTGCGTCGCCACCGACGTTTCGGTTGAAAATGATGTTAAGGAACTATTCCGAAAGACTGAAGAACAATTCGGCTTAGAGGTTGGTCATCTACTATTGTTCAACAATGCCGGCATCAATTCACCTGCTGCGAGTGTAGAGAATGTCGAATACGCCGACTTTGAAAAGGTCATTAAAGTTAATTTACATGGGCCGTTCTTGTGTGCCAAGGAGGCGATGAAACTCATGGCCAAGACTGGTCGGGGAGGACGCATCATCAACAATGGAAGCATATCAGCTCACGTCCCGCGGCCAAATTCCGCCTGTTATACAAGTGCCAAACATGCTGTCTTGGGATTGACAAAGTGTATTGCTCTAGATGGCCGAAAGCTGAAAGTGGCGTGTGGACAAATCGATTTTGGCAACGTGGTTAGCGAATTGAGCATGGCAACCAACACCAAAGAAGGTGCCTTGCAACCCAACGGAACCAAACTGGTCGAGCCTAGCATGTCAATGAAGGATGCTACAGAAGCATTCTGGACCATGGCCAACATGCCCTTGCAAGCGAATGTTTTGCAAATGACAGTTATGGCCACCAATATGCCCTTTGTTGGCAGAGGTTAATCTTGATCTAGTCAACGTGTCACACAATCCATGCGAAGTGCTGGGATGTTTTGATATTGAATATGCACCTGTAGAATACTTGCTTCGCCCTAATTCCCAAACATAATGGTGCACAGCCTCGTGACGTTCCAAGGGATGACTGACTCACTCTGTTCAAGAAATGCCCACTTTCTTGACTAGTTCATCGTATCGAGCCATTACGAAAGGTCAATATCAGTATCGATGTGTGTTAGCGAACCTTCTGTCTTTCTCCCCAATCGGACCATATGATTGTGCGAAAAATCCGTCTTTTCCATTGCTGCAGTAAGTGTAATCCACTGGACTTGACACTTTGGGTGTGATGTAGCAGCAGTCTAGTATGGATAGGATCGTAGATATCGCACTTTCATTGCCTCGAAGTACAGTCTCCTCTTGTGATGCAGCATCATGGCATTCGAATTTGAGTACCTCTGCAATTTTGTCAAGTCGAAATGGTTTGTCGCTACTTTGTGATTCCATAGACTTTTTCGCTAATAATGGTCGTTGATAAAAGCACGTTTGTTTCTTTTCGATAGTGTGACTTGTAGCCCCGTTGTTGGAAGTCTGGCTTTCAAAGATGAATGGAGCCGTTTGCATCCCCAGTGCACTCTTTTCGTCTCCATCCACCTTTAGAAATCCTCGATTTTCCAAATGCTCCAGTATCCCGTTTGCTGCTGACATTCTGAACGCAAAAATACAGTAGATTGGTGAGCATGATGGGAAGAAGGTGCTTATACTGCCTACTGTATGTAATGCAACTTACGTTTGTCTTGACGTCATGTATACCGGCTTGCCAATAAAGATTTCATTTGGTTGAATGTCATACTTTCTTAGCTTGAGAATATTAATTAGTTGCGTGAATGTAACTCCTCTCTTTTGGAAAATGCCGTCACAGGATGGTTTCCACCTGTCCGGAATCGATTCCTGAACTAGATCCACAACACTTTTCGCCGAGTCGATTTCTGCATCGATGAACAGACGAATTATTTCATAAAGATTGCGCCTGGAATCCATTAGCACTAGCAGCACAGGGGTTTTTGTTGATGTTACTCGCCTCCTTTTCATTCGAAGTGTCAGTAGTGTTGAATCCGCAGATACCGATGAGGTATCAAGCTCGTGACCCCGTCGCCAATTCGCTTTGTAAGGTTCCAATGATTTCGATCCGAATATGTAAGATCCACTGAGATCCGATACATCCCGCGCCAACGGCGCTGGGGTATTGATAGAAGATGGTACAGGTTGAATCGACGTCCTTTTTCTTGGCATTGCTGTCAAGTGAGTTTCTCTCGAACAGATGAAGAGGATTGAGAACGAATAAAAATGAATCAATCTGAAATCGTCGTCGAAGAGATGTTGTGTGGCGTATCGTAGTTACGCAAGGATACGGGTGTATCGATTCATTGGATTGATTACACTTCACTGAACGATGGTCGTGCTGTACTGGTACCAGGTACCGTACAACAAGTTGAACGTCTGATCAGCTTTTATCCAACTTGTGCGAGAGAATACATACAGCAATATATTATATAGTAAATATAAAATAGTTTTATTATTTGTTGATTTCGACTGTCTGCATAAAAAACTCAGGATGAAGTTCGGCGCTTCGAAAAAGCAGGCTCAATATCGTAACCCCTGTTCGGCGGATGCTCAAATGGTCGCTTCTTCCTATCCGATTGGTCCTCGCCGCGGTACCTGTCCGAATCAAAGTCTCTGCTACTCGTTTGGCGCACGTCATGATCGTCATTGCCTTTGTGTCGGTGTCCACCGGTGGTCGACGCTTCTCCACGGTTTCCGCCGAAATGATTGTCACGCAATTCATTGGAGTATCTGCTTCCACCACCATGTCGGCCAGAATCTCCAAAACCAGAGTCCCTGGTACGTCTATCCCTTTCTCTTACACCACCGTGACGCTGATGAGAGGAGTTATTATCATTATGCCCGGCGCCGTAGCGGTTGTCCCCATCATCACCCCTTCTATTATCACCAAAATGGCTGCTGGAGTCTCGATTTCCATTTGATCTGGAATCACTGATCCTTCTACCACCCTCTTCACGAAACCGATCTCCTCTACCATCGTAATCTCTACTACCACGGCGGTCCTGGGCATTCCTGTTATCCCAATCACGCTCGTAGTTCGAGTGCTGTTCAAACCCCCCACCCCGTTTACCTTGCTCGTCATGGCTTCTACGTTGGGCTGGTTCATCGTAAGAATTCCTTTCTCCGTAACTTCTCTTTGGTGGCTCACCGTACCCAGAACGACGAGGTGGTTGATCCACACCTCCCACGCGATGATCAGCGTGGCCACCACTGTCCCTATTGTCTTTACCATGTCCTAAACGACCATCATCCTGACGATCACTGTAGCTGCCACCTCGACCTTGAGACCACCCATCATTGGATCGATGGTGACCATTTCCATTTCTGTCATCAAATCCTGGACCTCTTCGACTGTCTCGGCGCTCAGGAGCGAAAGATTCATTTTCTCTCTTCAAGTCCGCTCGATTGAACTCGAGATGATCAAGACCCACGTTAACCTCGGCACTTACTTCACGCACAAAGGTTCCAGGAGGCCCTTCGTTGGGCTGTGCCGGCCTGAATCTAGCACGTACTTGCTGAGGAACGTCTGGAAACTTGTTGGCGGTGGTCTCTTTTTCTTTCCATCGAATGTATCCCTCCAAGTCAAAGTTAATCTTCCCGTCGTTTTTTCTGACCTCGGAAACAAGAGCTGCTTTGTTGATATGGATCCTCCCTTTGTTCGGCTGAGGAGTCTCTTCGATGTTCATGAACTGCAGCATGGCTTTCACACGAAGTCGCATTCCGTCGTCGTTCACACGAGCTCCTCGTGAACGCGTTTTTCCATATCCGGTGACAATGGAAATACTCTGCACAGCTTCCAGGCGCGACGTGTTGATGAGGTATGGAACAAGACAGTCTTCAAACCACCATCCAAGAGCAATCTCTCCACCACCTAAAGACAAAAAGTGAAGGTCAAGCTCCAACCATTCTTTACCCAAGCGAGAGACGCGAGCGTAGAACCCCTTTTCCACTCCTGAACATGAAATATTAGAAATGGGAACCACGACTAAACATCGGGAGCCGGTGCCTTACCTTCTTTGAAAAGTCCACGACCAAGCGCAATTTGCGAGGATACAGCATCGAGAACAGCATTGTATGTAACGACATCTCTCTTGACACCAACCTTGTCCATTTCCTGGAAGAGTTCGTATCCCTTTTCCCACAGATTGCAACGAGCGCATGCACTAATTGCACTGTTGTAAATGTGGACATTTGGTGTAACATCTTCGTGTTTCATTCGTTCCATGAGTTGGAAGGCGATGTCTGCACGACAGCTCTTCTCCATGCAGGACATCGCCGCACCAAAGATGATCACATTCTTCTTTATTCCCATTTGTGTCATCTCGTCTAGATATTCGAGACACTGTCTATATTGAAGGCCTACGAGTGGAGAAGCCAGTGAGAAATTGGCCACTTTTTATGCATCAATCGTGGAAACGTCGAACTTACCCTTCTCGCACGCACTAATCGCGCTTCCGTAGCTCACAACAGTGATTGGCATATTTTTAAGTTTCATTTCATCGAACAAGTCCAAGGCACGCTCCCATTGCAGTCCCTCTAAAACAATTGTTAGAGTGATAAATTACCCGCTCCAAAATGCATCGCAAACAGTAAACTTACTTTCCAGGGCTGTGATTGTGGCCTAGAGTTTATTGTTGGTAGTAGGTTGAAGTAATTGTCATGTAGTCAGGGGCAAGTGTTAGAAAGAAAGGAAAAAAGAAACCTGAAAACTGCAGAAGACATGTAGAAGTGAACTCACATTGTAAGTCACGATGCTTGGCTTCCCTCCAGACGCTTCGATTTCTCGAAACAGTTCAAGCGCCTTGTGCCACATCTGTCCTTTGGAAAGAGCAGAAATAGCGGCGGAGTACGCGATAACATTGGCACCATGACCAGCAGCTTTCATTTCTTCCAGGACTTCCAAGGCCAGTTTCCATTGCTGGCCTTTCTCTGCGGCGCTGATCAATGCAGAATAAGTAACGACAGTAGGTTTCACACCCTCCCGTTTCATTTGCTCAAAGATCTCGAGAGCTTTGTGTGGCACCAATCCCTTCTCACATGCACTGATCAATGCAAACTAGATGAGCACTTTTGCTTTGGCATTCTCTGACATTCTCATACAGCAAGCACGTCATACATACCTGATTGCCGCGTTGTAAGCAATGGCAGTTTTTCCTTGCCCTTCCTTTTTCTATTACAGCATTAGACGTAAGTCATGTCAGATGAGGAAGCAAAGAATTGAGCGATGCATTGAAGAAACACAATCTCACCATTTGCTCCAACAAATCAAGAGCAGTTCTCCATTGTCCACACTTTTCGCATGCTGAAATGGCAGAGGAGAATCTGCGTCGATCAAAGAAGATGGTGTTGAGAATTTATTAGGGTGAAGGGCAACAACATTCCAATCGCCAACGACGGTCGTCTTACGTTACTTCGTTCTTTGCGACATTCTTCGCTTTCATCTCGTTGAGAAGCTGCAAGGCTTTGCGGTAGTCTCTAACTTTTTCACAAACCGAAATCAAAGAGTTGTAATGAAAAGTATTCCTCTGGATTCCCACAGAGTCGATCCAGTCCCAGACGGTCAGTGCCAACCTAAGATTGCGACGACGTGCAAAGTTGGAAATAATTCCTGTGATGGCTTTTCCAGATTGAAATACTGCCATGTTCTCCTCTCGGGCAGCATCAAGTTCCTTAAAGATCTCGTTGCTGTTTCGGCAGAGACGATCAACGAGAGCTTGTACATCCAAACCCATGATTATCTGACCCCGTCGGTCATCGCCACGGTCCCTACCAGATGACTTCCGTTCATAGAACCCACCTCCACGCGAATTGTGGTGACCACCACGTCCACCGTGACGACCTCCAGAATGCCGTGGTTGAAAGCGATCAGAGTTTCCTTGCGACCCGCGGCCCGAACGTCGAAAGTCTTCGTGCAACGAAGAAGTATCGCGATCCCGCAAGTGAGCCCGTTCACGATAACCTCGCTTGAAGTGATCCAAGATTTGAGGAGCAGTGTTGGTGGGAGCCGATTCGGCTCCAGGGACAAAGTTCTCGCCATGATCAGGAACATTCCTTCTCGCGGGACGACGTTCCTCGTTCCTTCAACAAAAGTGGTAAAAGAAAGAGTGGGTGATTAGTGCGTGGTGTATTGGTTACAGCGTTAGCTTGTTGAGTATTCAAATAGACAGTCAAGTTCAGAAGACACTGGAGAGACATGGTTGTTGTATAATTCCTGTAGACAAAACTGTTTCCATCGACATCGTCAGGCCAGGATTTGGTTCCAATTACAGCGTGAGTTGGTCGAGTCACCACATAGGCAGTCAAGGCCAAGGATACGCTGGAGAAACAGAATTGTCGCATGGTATTGGAGAGATATCTTCTGATTTGTTGCGTGGAGTATTGAATATGGTTACGATAGATTTGGGCCAATAACTGGGATCTGCTGGTTTGCTACGTGACAAAAAATGCTTTACTATTCGGCTTCATTGTCGTCTCACCTGCTCATTGGTTGTTGTGTTCTGGTATTCAGTGAAAGCTGATTGTGTGGAACTCAACGTGGATCGGTTTGCTCTACAGTACAGCAGGTACACTATGTTTGTGGCAACTGTCAATTTCAATGCCCCCTTCCGCATCTACGGACAGACCAATGACTAAAAAAACTATCCAACTTGAAACTCTGGCCTCACCTTCATGTCTGGTAGCTTGAAAGATACAGCATACGGCGTGTATCCTTACGTGTTGCAGCCAAAAAAAAATTGCTTGAAAAAACCTTGTCGACGGCAATCTATCTAGGTCAAACCAGAGTACCACTCAAGTTCGTTTCGAATCGATATTCAAATTTTAGACGGAATCAGCAATGTGACGGCATCCCGAACCAGATTTGGAATAAAAAAGAAGCCGATTCACTAGATTGGCGGAATATTCAATATCCTGAGTGGTCAACCCTTTAGACCTTCTTGTCTATTGAATCTGTAAACAACAAAGCACAAGCCTCCCAGCAACATTGGTTTAGAAATCATCGTCTTGTTCAAAAATGTCTTCGACAAAGTCATTGCTCGAGTTCAGGAAATGCAACGATGCTTGGAGCGTAACTAACGAATAGCCTTCTTTTCCTCGAAGCAGCTGCTCGTCTCTTGCGAATTCCTCCAAGAATGCGATCTGCGCATTAATTGCGGGAACCTTTGCCATGATGAGATGTTGACACACTAATTTCAGCAAAGAATCAGCTCCAATCGATTTGGTGGAGTTGCCACTATCCGTGCTGGATACTGAAAAGAAATCAGATATTCGTTCCAGGAAAGTTGTGCAACATTGGAGTTTATCGGATACCGAGTGCGAATGCGGAAGACTGTGCATCGCCCCCAGAGCTAATTCTGAAACGTTGGATTTGTAGCGATTCGGGGTGGAGTCCAACGACCATTGCTGCCGCTCAAATTCTGCAATTTTGGCAAGAAGCATGTTGTCTTGGTCAGCATAGTCTGCTTCGATCTCTTCCATGATCAAATCATATGCCTCCCCGAACACTAAACTCTCGACAGCGGTAGCTGTTAGCTCTGTGATTGCCGGAGAAGCTGAAAAACCTGGGCGAACTTCAAGTAAAGTAGCTGTCACATATTTTATGACTGCATGGGCATCCTGCCGTCTAGCCCTTCGTAACTGATGCGCATTCTTGCGTTCATCCGAAGCATCTTCTCCGCTCTCTTCATCCACGTTTCGATAACTGGGATAATTTACTGGTTCCTCGAATAAAAGACGAAGGGGACCCCGTGATGCAGATCTCACTCTGATTGTGTCCAACAGCTTTTGGTATATATGCCCAGGTAGACTATCCCTATTGTTGAGTTGTCTGCTGACAAGTAACAAAACTTTGTCACCAGTTGCAAGTTCCTCTTCGTCTGTCTTAACAATATCGACTTCACGGTCGTATCGTTCCTTTTTTGCCGACTTGAATTGATTTGGGAAAATGTCAAACGAGATATCAGTTGGATGTGACTTTCGAGCATTTGTATAGATCGTTTCCCATTCAGGATGAACAACGACATTTGGACGAACAAGAAGCACCCGCTGTTTTGTTCCGTCGCCCAAGGCCAAGATTCTCTTTTCCTCTATCTTGTCTTGCAGTTGTTGCCCAGCTTTTCGTCCAGCTGCAACACCTGACGCGAATACTCCGATACTGACAGATCCTTCCAGAACCACTCCAAGTATTCCAGCTGTTTGCCCAACCTTTCCTCCAATCACCCAGCCAACTGGACCAGCAAACATTAGTCCAGCAATGCCTCCTGCTACACCGCCTGCAACTGTCGCCAGTCCAAGACGCTTATTCGACGTCTCCTTATCCAACTTTTCCGCCAATAGACCCTCCACTTCCGCCACAGAAGGTGATTCAGACTCACAAGACACCGTCCGTGATATCTCCAATTTCTGTTGGCTCTCGGCATCTTCATCATCTTTGCTCTTGTTTCTCTGAAATCCTTTTATCCTATCGCTTTGAAGAACAAGTTGATGCATCATGGGCTCAAAGTGAACCGCAATGTTCTCATGCAACGCTCTCGAAACATTTGAAAAAGTATGACTAGCAAAGTGTATTGCTGAATCCATGATCAAGGGATCTTGACCCTGTTGGCTACTTTTAGAAGGAAGATTCTTGAGGAGGTCCTGGTTGGCCCAGTGCATGGGAGGGCCATCTTCCGTCCATTCGAAGGATGAATCGAACAAGGAATGTTCTCCACCATCTCTCTGACAAAAGCCACTTTCCTTGTCGAGTAATGAATCCAATTGACACCGCCCATCCCAAGTCTGACTCCGCTGCACTCTGGTTGGCACGTTCAGATACCCATTGCCTGATGTTTCATCAACCCCATTCTCCAGAAAAAGTTTCGATGCAGAAAGAAACGGAAAGCTAGCTTTCCCTGTATACTTTCGCTTCCGACTCGGTTCACCTTCTGAAACAACTCTTCTTATGGCATCTGGAGCAGTGACCGTAGGCGGAGTGCGAAATATGCTATTTCGATCAGCATGATCCAAATTCGAATTTGATGAAGTCGAAGAGTCATCACGCATTGTATCAGTTGCTGCGGAAGGTGTTTCTTCCAGCTGCGAGTAGTTCATGGGTCGGAGGATTAATGGGTTGTTGCAGCCTTCAGAGGTGCTGCTATCGCCATTCTCCTGAAGCAACTTTTGATTCACCTGACAGGCTTCTTTCCACGCCAGTGACTTAGAAAAAGCACAAGAACGATGTGCAAAACCTCCACAGGATTTGCACTGAACCACCTGGGCTAATGAAGTACTACCAAAGAGCTGAAGACGCTTGCAACAACCAACACAACTGCGAAAGGGAAGGTGGAAGGACACAGACTGAAACGAATGAAGGTGTTTCATATGAAAGCACCCATTTGATGACATCAACGCAATAGCCCTTTCCAAATCACTGTCATCTTCGGCTGCAGTTGGAGACATGGCTCCTTTTCTGGATGTTTGATTGATTGTTTGATTGATTGATTCTTATCTTTTCGTCTTGTTCTTTTTATTTTTATTTCAGAACTGTTTCAAAGTACTTGCGTAGTGCAATATGTCCGTTTCAAAGTACTTTCGTAGTGCTAAGTTTACGAACCGACCGTCCGTCGATGGAGTCAGTCTGAAGTGACGCACCAACCGAGAGGAGATACCTTTCATTTTGTTGCCGGAAATGCATGCGTAGATTCACGTGTGCATTCTGCCACATACTCACCGAAATGCAGTACAGACTTCTACGAATATTTCACGTAGACTTGAGACAAACGTCAGTCACGTTGGAAAAGCGCGGATTTGGAATGCATGTCAACATCGTCGTGAATGTTGTATCTTTCTGTGGCCACAATTCTGCGCAATAGGGTTTACTCCAAACAAATCCGATACACAACAATGAAATTCTCCTCTTTTGCAATTGCCGGCGCAGTCCTTGCCACTTCTAGCGTCCATGGATTCAGCACTCCTTCCAAGTTCGGAGTCCGCCAATACACTCAACTGGACATGGCTACTGCCATCGATGCTGACACCAAGACTGCTCTTGCCACCGCTGCCAACGAAGCTCGTGGTATCGCCATGGACTCCATCGCCGCTGCCCACTCTGGACACATGGGACTTCCACTTGGTGCTGCCGAAATCGGAGCCGTTCTTTACGGATCTCAGGTAGGTGTCAATGTTCTTATTTTTACCCATCAGGCATTCATTTGACATCTCTCTAACTGCTTCTCTTCATTCTGCAGATGTCTTACAACCCCAAGGACCCCCAATGGGTCAACCGTGACCGCTTCATCCTTTCCGCCGGACACGGATCCATGTTCCTTTACTCGTGGTTGAACCTTGCTGGATTTGACCTTCCCATGGAAGAAGTCGCAAAATTCCGTCAACACCACTCCATGACCCCTGGTCACCCTGAATTCCCTTCTTCCGAACACAACACCCCAGGAATTGAGAGCACAACCGGTCCTCTTGGACAAGGTGTTTCCAATGCCGTCGGTATGGCCGCTTCCGAGAAGATGGCTGCCGCCGTCTACAACACTGAAGACCACAAGATCTTCGATCACCACATCTTCGCCCTTGCTGGAGATGGTTGCTTCCAAGAGGGTGTCTCCGCCGAATCCGCTTGCTTCGCCGCCCACGAGAAGCTTGACAACTTGATTGTCCTTTACGACGCCAACGAAGTCACCCTCGACAAGATGGCCGAATACACCCAATCCGAGGATATCTTGAAGAGATATGAAGCCTACGGATGGGAAGTCTTCGAAATCGACGGACACGACCTTGATGCCGTTGAGGAGACCATCGCTGCCGCCAAGGCCAACAACAACGGAAAGCCCAAGTTCATCAAATGCAACACCATCATCGGAAAGGGAATGGAAGAAACCGAGGGAACCAACGCCGCTCACGGAGAAGCTGGTGTCCCATACGTTGACAAAGCCAAGATGAACATTGGTCTTCCCGAGGGAGAGAAATGGTTCGTCTCTGAGGGAACTCGTGACTTTTTCGGAGAAGTCCAAAAGAAGAACAGTGCTACTTACGATGAATGGCAAGCAACCTTCTCTGCCTGGAAGGAAGCCAACCCTGCACTCGCCAAGCAGTTGGAAGATGCTATTGCCGATAAGACCCCTTCTGCCAGTGAAATGATCTCTTCGATCCCCGCGCAAGGTGATGCCGCCGAGGCTACCCGTGTCTCCGGATACAAGATCATCCAAGAGATCTCCAGTCTTGTCCCCCACTACGTTTCTGGATCTGCTGATCTTCACGGATCCACCCGTAACTACATCGACAACGGAGGTAACTATGGTGCCGGTTTCGACAAGTCTTACGGTGGAAAGAACTTGTACTTTGGTATCCGCGAACACGCCATGGGAGCCATTATGAACGGATTCGCCTTCCACGGTCTTTTCAAGATTTCTGGATCCACCTTCTTGGTCTTCGTTGATTACTTCCGCGCCACCTGCCGTGTCGCCGCTCTTTCTGAGTTGAACCGTGTTTCTTACATCCTTACCCATGACTCTATTGGTGTCGGTGAGGATGGACCTACCCATCAACCTGTTGAAACCGTTTCTGGTCTTCGTGTCATCCCCAACTTGGATGTTTACAGACCTGGTGACGCTGAAGAAACCGTTGCCGCTATGGTTTCGTCCGTCACCCGCCAAGAGGGACCAACTGCTTTGATCTTCTCTCGTCAAAACATTGACCAAAACAACGACATGGACTACATGGCCCGTCGTGAGGGTGCTTTGAAGGGAGCATACATCGCCAAGAAGGAAACCGCCGACTTGGACCTCATCATCCTTGCTACCGGTTCTGAAGTCCAACACGCACTCAAGGCGTCCGCCGATATGCCTGGAGCCCGGGTTGTTTCTATGCCATGCATGGAAGTTTTCGAACGTCAATCTGATGAATACAAGGAAGAAGTTCTTCCGTCCTCTGTCACCAAGAGAATCGCTATGGAAGCCGGAGTCACTGGCCTCTGGTACAAGTATGCCTCCAAGGTTGTTGGAGTTGACGAGTTCGGATTCTCTGCTCCAGGAGATATTGTCATGAAGGAGAAGGGAATGACCCCTGAGAACCTTAAGGCCGAGATTGAGTCGATGTAAACTTCTATAATATTCAAGTAAATTAGCAACCACACAAGATTCACACAGCACTGGTGCTACTTTGGAGGATTTTTGCGTCGTTTGTTCGTTGGTATCATGTCATGCAAGTGCGACTGTGCATGGTGTAGTCGTGTAGTATCCGACTACTTCGACTAAATTAAATGATTTGTGTGAAAATCTGATGTCTTTTAAGGGTAGGATCAATGTAGTAATAGTATGTATATCTATAAAGTGTGTATATATCGTGTCAACAACATCTTGGTTGATACGACATCAGAGGCTACTGTTCGTCCATCCCATCTCCGTGAGGTGACGTACGAACCTCCAATTCATTGAATATTCTCACACTCCCTCTTGGGAGGACGAATAGTCAGAGCATTTATTACCATCCAATGAGTGCTTTCCGCAATGGTATGAACATATGGGGCAATAGAGGCTTGGTACCAATGTCGGCAAGTTGATCAATTGTGTCTATCCGTTCAATGGTCACATACCCTTTTCGCACGTATCGTTTGAAGTGATGGTATTTGATGTTGATGTGTTTTGTTCGTGGCCGTAAGTTTTCAGTTGTTGCGATCGCTATCGCGCCATTGTTGTCTTCAAATGCCTTGCATTTGAACCTTGGTCGTTTGTACTTGAATGATTTGATCTTCTTTGCTAGTTCTTTGAAGAATCGCATCAAACTGATCACTGTCCGTAGCGCTTGGGACAAGCAAATGTACTCCGCTTCAGTTGTACTCAATGCAATCTCTGTCTGAAGTTTTGAGTGGGAATATACAAGGCAGTTGTTAAACATGATGTGATAGCAAGTTCGTGATTTTGCTGTCGCTGGGTCTTCTGCATTGTGCTTGTTGTATCCTCCAGCGAAATCTGCATCGGCATAAACCTCAAATCCTTTATTCTTGTCAGGTTTCATGATCATTCCTTTGTCTCGAGTGTCTCTCAAGTAGGTGCATATTCTCATTATCGCATCTTCATGGGATTTCTTAGGAAACGCCATGAACCTACCAACTTGTGACACTGCAAATATGAGTTCTGGACGCGTTGAACGTGCCAACCAATTCAGCATCCCAACCACCGATCTGTAGTCCCAATTCATTCGGCGCTTCTCACCCCCTTCATCTTTGTGTAACGTTTTTGTCGCTGGGGTTTTCACTTCTTGCCGATCTCCTCTATTGAGCGACACTCCGACCGTCTGCAATATGCGTTGGATCAGTGCTGGTTGGGTTAGTTCACGACCGTCTTTGGTTCTCTTCATTTTGATGCCGAGATATTCATTTAGGTCGCCTTCGTCCGTTAATTTATACTTGTGTCCGAGTTGTCCGATGACGTCATCAATTTCGCGTCCGTTTGGACCCATCAAAATCCCATCATCAACATATACAACAAAGATCGTCTCGCCTTTGTAGAAGACTGCCTTGTCCTCACTCGACTGTACAAAACCAATTTCCTCCAGTCCTTCCTTCAGAAATTCGAACCACACACGGCTCGCCTGCTTGGTCCCATATAAGTTCTTCTTCAAAAGCAAAACGTTGTTTTCGTTCAACTCCGATCCATCAACGTAACATTCTTTCGGAATTTCCATGTACATCGGACATTCAACTTCTGCTTGTGGAAATGCCAGTACGAAGTCGATTTGTCTGGTAGTCCATCCATTGAGTATTGCCAGTGTCAGTAGGCTTCGAATTGTCTCCCAACCAACAACTGGGGAGTAGGTCTCCCAATAGTTGACGCCTTTCTCTTGCGAACTGCCATCGATGCATAATCTCGCCTTCCATTTGTAGACTTCTCCGGTTCCCACTCTCCGCTTTCGCTTCATGGACCATACTCCACGCATGGCACGGTGGCCTTCTGGCATGGAACTTCTTGGAACGACTTCCCAGTGTTTCCCTTCAGTGTGGTCTTGTATTTCTTTGACCATTGCTTCGTGAAACTGTACCCAGTCAGGTTCTTTCTTTGCCTGATTCAGATACATAGTGTCTTCATCTGCAAGCGTCGCTGCGAATGCAAACGGATTTGAAGTCATGCATTGCTCGACCAGCTCTTCTGCATGAACCTCTCTGGCGATCTCAGTTTTATAACATCGGATCGTCAATTGCATTTCGCGGCGATGTTCCTCAAGGGACGTCGCAGTTTCAGTTTCTTCCATCTCCTCTCGTCCTCGTTTTCGTTTCTGTGAGGAGGATTTGTGTGCTTTCAGGGCTTGAATTGCTTGTGTTTGGGAGTTTACTGTTCCCTGCAGCGCCGGATGTTGGAAACTCACTCTTTCTGTCTCCCTCTGAGAGGCGGATCCATCCTCCCTCTGAGAAAACAATTGTGTCTCCCTCTGAGGATCGGATTGGGTCTCCCTTTGTGAAGACGCTGGAGTCTCCCTCTGAATCAATTGCTCATTCTCTTGCTGAGTATGCATGGGGTCTTCCCCGTTCCGGTCGTGAGCTAGCCTATCTTGGCCGTTCCGCTCGGGTTGACCTAGCCTATCTTGGCCGTTCCGGTCGTGAGCTAGCCTATCTCGGCCGTTCCGCTCGGGTTGACCTAGCCTATCTTGGCCGTTCCGGTCGTGAGCTAGCCTATCTCGGCCGTTCCGCTCGGGTTGACCTAGCCTATCTCGGCCGTTCCGGTCGTGAGCTAGCCTATCTTGGCCGTTCCGCTCGGGTTGACCTAGCCTATCTTGGCCGTTCCGGTCGATCGAATGGGCTCCCATGCTCTCTTGCACGGGTGCACCGTTCTCACCATTTGACTCAGGTGTGGGAGTTTGAGTTGTGTCAATGGGCTCAGACACGGGAGTATGGGACAGTTTGGTTCTCTTGTTTGATCGTGCTCTCTTTGGCTTCAGTACAGTTTCGTGTATTCTCGTGATTCCTTGCCATTTTCCAACATTCCTCATTGCTGGAATCTTTGTCGTTTCGAATCGTTCATCGTGCTTCACATGAAACTGTGGTGAAGTCAGTCCTGTGTCGGGGTTCAACACTAGTGATACTGAGTGTGCATGTTCTCGTGATAGTCCAAGATAAATTCCAATACGCGCTCGATCACACCATTTATTCTCCAGTGAATTTCCACTCTGAAGCTTTGGATCCAAGTTGTACACCGGGCAGCCAAATGTGTGAAATTGTTTGACATCTGGTCTATCATCGGTGTTCGCAAATTTCTGCAGTGCTGTCCGTTTCTCTCCCTCTCGAAGAGTGGAATTTCGAATTTGAGAGGCGTAAATCATTGCAAAGCCCCATAGGTTGGCGGTGATTGCCGCAGGCCAATTGTGTTGCGCAAGTAGAAGCATGGACCGAGCGCTATCACGAATGTCACGAATGCGTTTCTCGGCTTTGCCATTTTGGTGATGAGCGTTAACGCCACAAAAACTGGAGGTTTGACGAGCAGCGCGACATGCCGTTTTGAAGTTGGTGTCGGCAAACACGCCATTATCACAGCATAGCGTTCAAATGCAAGTTTTGCTTCAAGAATGCTGTCACCATCATTACGTTGGTGGAGATGCACATAGTCAAGATCAGAGAAGTGATCCACAAATGTGGTGGCATAGTGGTACCGCATAAGGGTTGGACGTCCACGCAACTGGGCAACGAGGCCAGGTACATTTCGGGATTCCGCAGTGTCCACAGAGACAACATCACCAGGATGAGCTGCTTGACGAAGTTTCTTTCGGCTCCCATCTTTCTTTTTAGAGCGGTGACGCCATGGCCGACGTGTTGCTTTCCCAAACTGACAGCCAGGGCAAAATGGATGTTCTTGAACAGTGGCGAGACGAGGGTCGAGTAGTCCAGCGGCTGCACTTGCTTTGAGATGGCTGAACGGCATGTGGCCAAGACGATAGTGCCATCGTAGCATCAAAGTACGCTTGTCCGTCTCATTCAGTGATGGGAGTCGGGCTTCAGGGGCTGTTGAATCCCAGTCTTCTGACAGAATAGATTCAAAATTGAAATCTTCCAGTGCCGGTTCTTCAAATGCTCCCGCAATTGTGTCGGCAAGAATAGGTGCTGTCTCACCACGAAGGTCAAAAGGGTCCTTCTCGTAGTTCTTATTGTCCATTTCTTGATTTAGTAGTTCCCGATCTTCTTGGTGTCTTAGGACTGATCCCGCAGGTAGTTCCACATTTCCAATAGTCAGTGCAGTGGGGCGGATCCGTGCCTCTCTAGCTGTAAGGTGTTGAGAGCAAAGATGTGTAGAGAAAGACTTGTAGCCGGGTTTTGTCATCAAGAGAGGGATCTGAAGCTGTGCATCGTAGTCGATAGTTTTGATACAGTCCTTTTCAAAGTGAAGTTCGACCTTGTCTCCACGAAGGACAGTAGTGCGAACCGGGTCTGCGGATCGTCCCTTCTTCGGTCCTTGGTTTGACCATTGTCGAGGGCTGAGCAGGGTCAATTTGAGGCGAGGGGCATAGTATGCATTGTGGACTTTATGTTGGTGTGTCTGTCCTGCATCGTCAACAAATGTGAGCAGTAGTGTGCCGCGTCCGACAATTGGAATGCTTGTATTTGTTGCGCCTTCAAGCTTAAGACCAAGCACCGGTTCCAGTTCTCCAATGAACATCGGTCGTGCCCCACACACAGTTGCAGACGTGCAGCTGTCAATTCCCACCGGCACAGAATCATGCTCAAAGATTAAGGATGTGTTCATGGCTCGACAGAGATGCGATTTGAAGGTCTTGATAGAAAGTTTAGTGGTTATTTTCCCAATATGACTGAGGTCGAGTCTCTGCTTGCCCATATCTCAGGAGTCATTATCTGAATCGTTCTCGTTACTTCCGTCGTCGTTCGTTGGGAATTCGCCCGTATCGTCACTGTTGCTTGTTGCGTTATCAGATGCACTATCGTCTTCCAGCGCAAGTGCTGCTTTGAGGGCGTTGACACGAAGTTGCTTCTTGGCTCGCTTTGGGTTGCTATTGGACTGTGTCTTGCTCAATGCACAGGTATCCGAATTGTGTGGTCGCCCATCTCGTCCAATCGCTAAGACCATTTTCTTGTGTTTGTCGCACCAGTTCCATCCTTTCACTTGTCCATTTGGACCTTTCTTTTGGACCACCTTGGTCTCCTCTCCCTTCTTGGGTTTGGTAACCATCCATCTATCAAAGTCGGTTTGCCGCTGTCTCTTGCCACTGTCGGCTGCTTCATCAGCAGGTGAAGGTTTACGTTTGGATTTTTCCTTGCGAGACTGTTTCGACTTGTCCAGTTGTCGTTGGACATCGATAGTCTTCTTTTCTGCCTTGGAGATTAGTGTCGTTAAGGACATGATTTGTTGACTTTGTGAAGGGACGTTCCATACTTTCTTCTCGTCCAGGTCTAGGAATTTTGCATCGGCTTCTGACATAAGGTCTTCGTGGGGTTGGATGGCTGAGTTGTCCTTCACTCCCATGAATGCTTTGAATTGATCTTGATCCACAGAGTCGTAAGCCAAAACAAGGGCGTTGTACAACAATTCTTCCGTTAGAGAGTTGCTCCCGCCCTGTTGTGCACCTTGCCCTTGATTCATTTCAACTTGGGCAGTTCTGTTGTCGATAATTTCTTCGAGGTTGTCGTCGCGAAATCGAACAGTTCTGTTGCTGTCTTGTTCCAAGGTTTCTTCTTCTTCTCCGAGTCGACGTGGTGGTTGTCCTAGATTTGTTCTTCTTGACCGTCGCGTTGACTCTCCTCCCGGCATTCAGTATGTCGTATTCAGTGTTGTAAAACGCAGAGGGAGCGTGTGAAAATCTGATGTCTTTTAAGGGTAGGATCAATGTAGTAATAGTATGTATATCTATAAAGTGTGTATATATCGTGTCAACAACATCTTGGTTGATACGACATCAGAGGCTACTGTTCGTCCATCCCATCTCCGTGAGGTGACGTACGAACCTCCAATTCATTGAATATTCTCACAATTTGAAGATCAAACTCAATAATTTAGGCATGCCATTGTTCACTACTGGTGTTTCGGCTTGCCGATCACAGAGAAGCCCGACTGGTTTGATCTACCGGTACTACAATGCACAGTCTACAGAAAATGCACACAAGCTGTCTCGAACGGAACGGAGATCGATGATGAGGAAGCAAAAGAACAGAGTGCGAAGACAAACTGGAAATCCGAACGAAAATGGCAAGCACACATTTGCAGCAAGAGAGGAATCGATTTTCAGCGGTCTTGTGAACAGGATAAGCTTCGCTCATCCCAAGGTTCCTGGAGGGGGGAATCTCTACTTCACTCGTGAACATTTAAAACCACTTCTCTACCGGGTTCCATTTGCAACAATACTCTTTCTTCTCGTCACTAATGACGAGTATTTCCCTTACATAATTCAAGGGAGTATTGGACCAAGTATGCTCCCAACTATTCAATATATTGGAGACTTATGGTTGATTGAAACTTGGGCTTGGCATCGACTATTTGGATTACAAGTAGATCTTGCTGTTGGAGACGTGATCATTTGGAAAGATCCAACCACGCAAAGAGTGTCTTGCAAAAGAATAATTGGGTTGGAAGGCGATATGGTCAAACGATTTGGACAGTATGCGCATATGTACAAAGACCGGGAGGATATGGGAATAGCTGTTCCAATGGACTTGAAAACACGGAACATTTCACCCGATTGGGATTCAGCCGGAAGTAGTGAAGGAAATAATGTTGATCGGACTATTACAATCCCCCCCGGTCATGTTTGGGTGGAAGGTGATTGTCCGCTATTTTCGTTTGATAGCCGACACTATGGTTTTATCCCAAAAGGTTGGATTAAAGGAAGGCTACTGTATCGAGTTTGGCCATTGCTAAAAACTGATGAACATGACAACCAGATTCCTTTCCAAGTCACTCAAAAACGTCCTACCCCATTTTCGTCGATAGACGACTACCTTGGGTGGCGTTTCAATTTTCACAAGGTTTCAAAACAATCATCGAAGGTAGACTCTTCGCATTCTTCTTAGCAAACTGCCGGATATTCGATCCATTCGACTATAATACCATTTTCAAAGTTCCACCTCACAACTCACAACTCATCTTGAACATGCTTCCCATCGTAACTAGGGCAACTCTTCTTCTTTCCGCTATACTGGCGTCGCCTGTGTTCACATTTCAATCGATACGGAGATTTCCTGGTCGTATTCATGAAACTGGGCTCTATGGGAGGATGAAAAACAAAGTTCCGTCTCGAATTGCCGATCAGACAGAGTATGTAGAAGTCGATGCGAACGGAGATGATTCATGGAGAACGATGGATGCTGCTTCGCTTCTAGGCCGCGGTGGCCTGGGTATCATGCCCACAGAGATGGGCTATGGGTTTGTCTGCCCTCTCATGAGCAAGCAAGGACTTGAACGCATGCTCAGAATAAAAGAAGCAAGTAATTGCAAGAGACCGATGACGTTGCTTTGTAGTGATCTTACAACAATCGATGAGCATTGCTTCGGAATTGATAGAGCAGTATTCAAAACCTTAAAAAAGAATCTTCCAGGCTCTTACAGATTTATACTACCAGGAAAAAACACACTGCCTAAGGCGATAATATTTGAATCGAAAGGGAGCAAAAGCTCATTTACACGACAAACAATCGGTGTAGGGATTCCAACGGACCCAATCCTACGCTATGTTCAAGATGAGCTGCTCGATAAAGTGCCCCTACTGATGTCTCCTCTTCCTATTGAGAATGATATGGAATCTGATCCATACCAATTGTATCTGGGCCCTGACGCATCCTGGTTCAACGATTTGGACTTTGTTGTGAATGCAGGAGAGAGACCAGGAGAGGCGTCAACGGATTTCGATTTGAGCAATGGGGCTCCAACCCTCGTCAAAGAGGGATTAGGAGAAATAGAACTCGTTGCGTAAAACCCAAAATTCCATGCCATGAAATCAAATGATCCTAAGATTATGCGACAGCCATCCGACGAGTATGTTGTAACAATGAATAACACGTGTTTCTGAATGGGTGTATTCCATTATCTACATTTGCAATTTACCAGAGCTTGTTTCAGAATAATCAGCGCACGGAGTCTAAAATTCGTCAGTGCCAATGCTCTCTTTTACAGCTTCGCATACATCACCAACGCACTCGGCAACATCTTCGATGATTCCAGTGGAATTTGTGATGTTTTCTGTAGAGTTCAGGCCAAGTTCTTCTAGTCGACCTTCTTGAAGCATCATCTCTTCCCATGTTTCTTCATTTCCCAGGAACATATTCATCAAGAAATAAATGATGACGAATGTTCTGACTAAGGTGAAGATATCCTTCATGGTGGTTCCCTTGATGCTTGCAAACAAGATATCCCGGCAAAAAATGAACTTCATCACTCTGTCAAGTATGAACGATGAAGACACGTCCATCATTAGAAGTCGAAGAATTACATCTCTGAAAGCATCATCTGGGAAAGGCACGAGCTGAAAGTATCTATTCAATCCTGGGACAGTCTCAGATGCAAACATGAACGTCAGGATAAAGGTAGCAGCAAGACTCCATAGAAGGGGGCGGTTCTCTGTCAATCCAGTCATGAACGGACGTCCCTGGAGATTGACAACAAAAACAGTGACCTGCTGTACGTTGCTGACAAGGAAAACGACAGTATTCAAGATGCCTGGCTTGAAGGCTCCGTCAAGGTTGACTTCATGGTCTTCTGGGAGTTGCTCCTTGGCAAGGTATACAGCGTATACCATTGTCCCCAAGTGGATTGAGAATTGTCCAAGCAAGCTGATGAAGAGGGATGGATGGAAGATTGATGTCAAGGGACGCACAGATGAAAGCCTATCAAGAGGCTTTGAACGTGAAACTGACATGAAAGAGATTGACTGGAAAATCAAAGAGCCGTAAGCACATGAATCTAAAGGCATCCGGAATAAAAATCAACAAACTCACCCCAAGCATACCCATTGCAGTCATTTGCGTGTCACCATACTTGACTCCATCGAGATACAAGACAGAAAGGGAATAGGAACTGATCAAACACTGAAGCGCCAAAATTTGGTACTGAGGAAGCAAAGTCAAAAAGTGAGAAGGGTAAGTATGCAATCGGAGCTTTCAACCGACTGTTAAAAGATGGAGAATGCGTACCATTTGAATGCTTGAAACCAAAGTGCATCGCCCCTGGCGAACAATGTCGACACAACTCTTGATACTCGGCATTTTACTGGTAAATGGTGCAGCGATGGAAGCATCTCCAAGCTTCACCATTGGAAGGTCTCCGCTTTCCACATCTTCCAGCTGAGCCGCTAAGGCACTTGCCGAGCCTTCGATTCCGCCACCCTTCACGATACCACTCTTTTTTCGTTGCGCCGCCAAATCTTCGTTCAATATCTCCTTCATTGCCTTAAAACTTGCCCAACTGACACCCTGTGCTTCTAATTCTGCAACTCTCTTCATTAACCTTTCTTGTTTTGCAGCAGCGTCTTTTTTTTGCTGTTCTCTACGTTCTGCAACTGTCATGTTCTTCGTATTCTTCAAATTATTTTGGTCGTGCCTTTTTACTGCTATTTCGCGAGCCTTGATCTGGTATAGCTGTACCAAGTCTTCTTTCTCGATCAAGTCTGGGTACTTATTTGGATCAACTCCAAGAGATCGAATTTTCATCTTAATCAGGGACACTGGCATCTGTCTGATTTCGTTGAGCTTATCTTGACTCATAATCGCAGTGACTTGAGACTGCTCTTTATCTTTCTTCGTATCAGCCTCGGCTTCTGCTGATTTCTCTACGTTGATGTCACCAAACCCTGACAACAGAGCAACTCCTACATCAGCCCCTTTCAAAGCACCAACGTCATTAGCACCGTCTCCACACATGAGACACAAAGAACCGACTGAATGAAGACATTCAATGACAGTTTCTTTTTCATCAGGAGTCATTCTAGCAAATACTTTGAAGCTGCCGAGCACTTGTTTTGTTTTGCTATCGCTCTCCAATGCCAGCGACAACATCTTCCCTGTTGTGGCCAAGCCATAGTCCTTTGACAACGCTGGTACCTCCTCAGCAACGAAGTCCTTGACTCTTTTTCCATCTTCGTAGCTTTGCCAATAGAGATTCCCCGAGTCTTCCTCCAATAGCAAGATTGGTTTGTACTCCTTCTTCTGTTTGTTCCAATTCGAGGAACTTGGGTTTCGTTTGCTATTGAGAAGCTTTTGAAGCTCTGGATTATTCTCGACCGTCCTATTCAATTCAGCCTCAATGCCTCCAATAGGCTCAAATATATTAACCTCTTTGGCTACGTGAACAGCTGTAAGCAATGCATCACCAGTAACCATCGCAATCGACAATCCACCTTCCATCAGCCTCATCAATACTGCGGACGTGTCCTTTCTTACACGGCAAGTAAATGCAATAAAACCAGCGAATTGCATGTTGGATTCACAACTAGCTCTTGCTTCACGAGAACTCGAGATTTCAGTTTCTGTTTGAAGGGGCTTGTACGCAAGACCAATAACTCTGTAGCCTTCCTTGGAAAGAAAAGCTGCTTTTTCGTCATATCCTGCTGGTTTCTTTGCAAGATGGTCGCCTACAGCTTCTGGTGATCCCTTCATTACCGCAAAGTGCTTTCCGTTCGTTACTGACTTGGCAACACAACTCATTCTTTGAAGCTTTGAACTAAAGTGATGTCGCGTCAAAACCTCAATCTCAGATACGGTTGCGCCAGACTGCAAACGAATTGTACTTCCTCCTGCCTTCTTCTCGGTAGCAGGGGCAGGGACAGCATTTCCTGTCTCGGTAGACAGTTGCCATCGCATTGATTTCAATGATGCACTCTCCAATGGATCTCCTGTCGTTTCACCTTCAATGTAGACAAGAGAATGGCATCCAGCCAAAACTAGTGCAGCTTCATCGCTTACCTTCACCATAGGGGTGAGGAAATTCTCGTCCTCCTCCTCTTTATTCTTTGGAGTCTTGAGCTTGACTGGTTGACATACACCCACGGCCACAAGCTCATCTGTGGTCAAAGTGCCGGTTTTGTCGAACAGAGCAGCATCCAATTTTCCAGCCATCGGTACACGATAAGGTTCTGTGCAGAATACATGCATCTTCATCAATGTCATCAGACTATTATTCACAGCGAGAGCCATCTATGAATGAAAAAATAGATTGAGTAACACGATTTGTAGTGCCAACTCATATCGCGACTCCGCAAACTTACCTGCATCGGCAATTCCGGCGGAATAACACTTGTAATGATAAGAATACAATGCAAGAGAAGCTCATACTGACTTCGCTGGTCATTTTGCAGACCATGGTATAACACATACGAAGAACTTGCGACAGCAAAGAAGAAAAGCAACAAAAGCAGCAGCCCAGTTTCCTTTTCGTGACCCTTGACTTTTTCCTGTGAACCCTCAATCATTCGCACCAACTTTCCTTGAGCAGATGAAAAGCCAGTTCGAAGCACGAAGCAAACGGCTCCATTATCAGGAGGATTGGTAATGCCCTTAAGGATCGACTTTGAGACTCCAGTCTGGGCTTCCACTTCGGCGGCACCCTTACACTGCAACATCTTTGTGCCTGCGTAAGCAACGCTCATCTTGTGTTTAAACTTCATGCTAAGGTTTTCGTCTTCTACTTCTGTCAACCCTTCCTTCATTTGAGGCACCGATTCTCCAGTCAAGCTGGATTCATTGACGACTGTCGATCCATTCAAGAGCAACAAATCTGCTGGCACAATATCTCCACCTTCATCCTCGACTGTCCTCTTCTTGTTTCCTTTTTCCTCTCCCTTTGCGAAATGAGGCTTCTGTCGAACCAAACTCATCAGATCACCTGGTAGTAGCTCACTGGTTTCGACCATGGTCCATTGTCCAAGACGATGCACCCAAACCGGTTTGGATTTGTTTCCCATTCCTCGCAGTGCCGAGAGACTCTTGATACGAGAAAATACAACCGTTGCTTCAAACATGAGAATCATGAAAAGATTGAACAAACTGTACTGCCAATACTCGTCGAGCATCCAGAGCATGACACAGAACAGTTGAAAGACAGTAAATGGATTCAGCAATTGTGCCTTGTACAACTCGCCAAAGGTCGGTTGCTTTACACTGAATGTGTTGCTTCCATATCGAATTTGACCAGATATCACATGGTGGTCCGATTGAAAACCGTTCCAAGTCTCAAGAAAGGTCAATGGAATATCGGTGCGGCATCGAACCTTACTCCATGTGGCACTTTCAGCGTCAAAAATATATCGCCTGCGATGGTACTCGAATGTCATTCCCAGGGTAGGATAATACTCAAGTGGTACCAGCATATGCCGACCCTTGGCCGGTATGACTCTTGCATGCGTGGGAAGACTAGATGGTGCGTTTTGAATGGCTCGATCCATAACGGCATCCTTCTTCTTCGGATCTTTCTTCCAAGCCGCCAACCGAATCTCGTCTTCCTCCAAGTCCAATTCCATGAGTTCTTCAGATATTTCCACTTTGTCCACATCAAATTCTCGATAGTTGATCCAAACATTGAATCCCACCGACCAGTGCTGCATCAAGAACACCAATGCGTGCAACACGGCCAATATTCCAAGGATCAGCGTTGGCGTGAATTCGGTCGCATAACGGGAAGGAACTCGCATATTTTTTGGCAAACTATCCAAAACGTTCTTTTCCTTATCCTTCTTTTTCTCTTCTGCCAGTTCTTCAATATCCATATCCATCCAGTCCATCCAACCAATCTTTTTGATGCGTCGATTGGGATCATTGATATCTTGAAACGTGTGCTCAAGTTCTGCCCTCAATACAGTAGATCCTTCCATAACTTCAAAGCCTTCACGGTCTGCCTTTTCAAGAAACTGGCGATAAGGTTTTCCAATGGTGGACGCCACCCAAATACTTTGATAGACATATAACAAAACAAAGACAAGATTGTACAGACGAATGCGTCGCTTCTGGGTTCCAGCGGCAAGCTTAGGTGAATACACTGCCACCTGTTGGATTCGTTTCGAATCAGTATCCTTGCCGTACAACACCATCTTGGAGTCGTCGTTGCTGGAGCCGAGATTTACACCTACTGTATTGGCAATGACAATAATTCACAAAAGGCTTGGAACTGAGCTCTTATTCATCGTTCACCTGCCCCCACTTTGGAATTCCTCTTCGATCGAAGCGATCGTACGATGACAGACATGACCTTCGACAATAGACTGGACTGACTGGACTGACTGGACTGACTGGACTGACTGACTGACTGACTGACTCGTTTGACCCATGCTCGCTTGTCGATCGCTGTTTGGAGTTGGCGGGAGAAAAATTTCAATCGCGTGCACAGTTTTCGAGTGACCAGACCACCACTTGACACGGAGTTTTCGAAATCTCCACAACAGCGTCACACAAAACAACAACTCCGACGACTCCTTCATGCTCCCCATGTCCAGCAATCGCAGCCTCAGCGATCAGTTCACCAAAACGTTCAGATTTGAACGAGGTAGTAGCTTTTCGTCGCTCTTCCAAAGACGTGCCAAGAAGAGCCGCGGTCAAAAGATGTCTCCTTCTATTCCAACCTTGTCTGGAACATTTAGCTCGTTTCTCTCGTGCAGTGGACCATCGAAGGAAATGCCGGAATCGTCGCTTTCGCAAATAAAGAGAGAGCTACAAAAAACTTCTTCCTGTGGAGAGGGTGAGGACTTTGGTTTCGAGGTTAATGAAGAGGTTTCTTTAAAGACTGTGTACGATCTTTACCGAGTATGATCGACCAATGGAATGCTCTACAATTTCGAAATGTCCACAAAAACATTGATTTGGACCGCACGACTGTGAAATGGAGAGCTTCTCTGTGGAGGTTGCAAGAGATCCGTTCCTTTTGTGTTGGCGTCGTTGGAAACAGCTTGAAACCAAGAAAACTACAATGCGGGACTGGAAGCCATGCTCCCGAAAGTCTCTTTGATGCACTGGCTGTACATGTACATGAAAACCTACCTACGACAAGTAGAGATGCAACTGTAAACTAGAACTTTGTTGTATTAGTTTCATCTTAGTTTCGCTACAGAATCCATTAAATGGAGGTTTGGAGGCTCTCTTGTAGTTCTCAGAAACACTACAAAGTTCCAATTGCGATGTTGTTTGCAGAGACAAGAAGGAGGAAACAAAGAGAGTACCCACTTACTAGTATCCAATAACAAGGCAGCGTAAGGGAGGTAGTTGCAACAGTGCAGTGCATGATCCAACCAACACCGACAGCTAAAGGTTTCTAGTAAAAAGAAGGGGTGTCGAAATGTTTTTGTGGAACGCTCATCTCAAATGAACATCGAACTTACTCGTCGCAGTTGACTTTTAGTTTGACTTACTATTTCCATTGTTTCAAGACTGTGTGGTGCAACCATGCATGCAATTTGCAAAATCCATTCTTGTAAAACTCGCACTGGGTTAGGCGAAAAAGTAATCCAAACACTATTAGTCTTTTCCCTTTCAGACACGTCTCACCAATTGCAACTCCATCAGTTCCCCGCTCCTAAAATTGAAACCGTTCCACGTCGTCTTCCAACATGCAGCACCAGTAGCATGCAAAACAGCAACCCCTCTATTGATTCGCAGTAGCCATTCGCAGTAATTTCTGATATCTTGGTAAACTGGCACGTACTTCTTCCATGGACATTTCCTCCGCTACGTCTCCTTCAGGATCGAAGATGAGTGTCAGACCCCCCTTGAGTTTCTTGGTTTTTGTTGTCTTGCCCGCAGTCGCTGGTGCGTTCAAGGACATGGAGAGAGAGGCGGCGCTTTGGGCTCCAGATGCAGCCGGTGTATTAATTTTTCCGGCATTGATACTACTACTGGTGGCTAAACTCGACGCGGTTGGGGCAGCGGTGGATACTATTTGGGCCTGAGGAATGAGATCAGCCGACGGCAAACTCGGTGGTGGTGGCTGTGGCGGAGGCACACCAGGAGGAAGGGGAGGCAATCCAGTAGGTGGAGGTGGCAATCCCACAGGAGGCGGTGGCATTCCAGGAAGAGGAGGCACTACTACTACTCCAGGCTGGTACGGGAGTGGTGGCATACCCGTTGGAAGGCCAGGAATAACACCTGGAGGAGGTGGTGGTGGAGGGGGCGGTGGTATATCCACCGGTGGCTGTGTTAGGCAGTCATCGTCCACAGGAAAGTTGTTGTAGCCATGAGCACTAACCAAAGCAAAGGCAGCACGACAAGCGCAATCCATAGCCGCTTCTCTCGTTTTCCCGCGTCCCCAACCAAGATCGACCCCTCCAACGCGAGTAGAAAACACATGCGGCTTTTCTGGTGTCACACCAGTGTTCCATCGCACGTAAGAAGCGTCCAACATGCGATGTGATTTAGTGTATTTGACAAAGGCTTCCATCGCTTGATAAATCTTTGTCGGTCTGTATTTTTTTACGAGGAAGCTTTCACCAGTGTCTGGTTTGGCTTTCTTTGGCGCAGAACCTTCCTTGTTGCTGTTTTGAGATCGCTTCTTTCTTCCCATGGTGTCTTGGCTTTCTCGTGTCAACAACTGATTGATCTATTAATACTTCTTTGATTTTAATTGTCGGCTTGGGTCAAGTCGTCCAGTCAGTCAGTGATACGATACCATTCATTGGAACCTGAACGATACCGGTATAATATCGTGTACGTTGAGGTCCGTCCTTCGCTCAATGAAGACTAAATACGTACTAGCGGAATATCGGTATTCGCAATGAATATGTAGATACAAAATACTTCGCTAAGGTGAGATTACTTAGAGACACTGTGCTACCTTTTAAAAATCGCCGGCGCAGTTCGTTCCAACGAACGCTCGAAAGCTCGACCATCATCATTGTCATTGTTGATTTTGTTATTTCTTCTAAAGCATGTCTTCCAAGCATCGATTGACAAGATCATTCCGAACGTTGTCTGCACTGCTCTATATTGTAAGTGTCTCAATCATTTTGTGGCCTTTCAATTCATTCAAAGCTGTTGTTTCCCCGGTGTTTGCAATTCACAAGAGGGGATAGCATGATTTTGCTGCTGGCACGTTCTCTCATATGCTTCCTTTTATTGCTTTTGAATTGTCCAGCTGAACATTGTAGTCTCGGTCAGATTCACCCGAACTCTAGGCTACCTGGATGTATTGGTTGGGTCCCTCGTTTCGGTAGCATGTTTGATCATGCTTTTTGTGGCTATTGAAGCCCCAACACCAGTAGTTACACGTCTTGAAAGGTCGAGAATTGGGGAGAATCTCTTTACGTTTCGTGGGCGCTATATCATGGACCTTCTCGTTTCCCTTTTCTTGTTTGCCATGGGAGTATACGGAGTGATAATGGGAATCTGCACATTGGTCCTGATCTTTGGTATTCGATTCTTGGGAGTCAAGCAACCGGACGCCTTTAATGAAATCTTTCGCCAATCGGACTTTGACGCAAACAACTCGGCGACGGATTCTTACACTCTTGAAGATACCTATGACACTGAGGCCAATTCACGGTAGATAGATTGGTTGCAACCCTGATTGCATTGTGTGGTTTTTTGATTTAACAAATCATTAAGTGTATTGTATCAACAGCGATATTATTTTTCTTTTAAGTTATTTTCTTTTGGATGTTTACTGCTTCTCTAGCTCAATGATGCTCCACCATAGTACAACTATCAACAATATGAACGAATTTAGTAATTCATCGCGAGACTCAGATTCATTCGTGCTAGCTAGAGTTGTCTCATTCAGGCAGTCCTCTAGCTGACATGGGTTGCATATACGGCCACTATTCGCATTTGAGAAAGTCTTCATCAATTTCTGTGTTAGACTTTTGCAATCTTCTATGCACAAAGATTGCACCAACTGTCACTCTTTCTATCGTACCGCCGTCGAGATCACATGACAACTGAAACTGCCATGTTTTAAAATACTGTGTTTTAAAATAGTGACTGACTCATCACTCGTGATTCATCATCTTTCAACGCACAAGAATTCTTGCTCACAAAGGACAAAGGTTTCGAATCATCATCGTCATCTTCCATTTCGATCCTTGCATCTTCTGCAAAACGCAATGAGCAAAAAGGATCCAATCTTACCCGTCATCTCAGAAAATGCTGCTGTAACCCGACCTCCACCTAAGCAAACTGCAGAAGACGAAGAATTAGGCCCCTCACCTCTTTGGCAAAAGGAAGACGAAGGGTGGGAGTTGACCTGGCCGATTTGGCACATGCTTCCACGGGACGAACGGAAAGAACTTGCCAATAAACATGGGTACAACACGATTGGTGAATTTGAAGAGTAAGTTTGCCGTTTGTTAAAGTGCGGGCGGTCGAATGAATAGACAATGGACAAGAATGGACTTACACTTGTGGTCGTTCATGACTACAGATACATGTCGCTTCAACAGGCGGTTGACAACTCTGGAGCCAAACCTCAGAAGCCATACAACAATGAACTCATTTATCCAAACGAAAAAAAAGACAAAAAGAAAGGAAAGCCTGCTGTTGAGCCGAACAAGAAGAGCGAGCCAGAGGAAGACGACGATGATGAATCTTCGATTGTCCAGGAACAAGAATACAATCGACAACTTTCCTCTGGAACTGAAGGAGATCTAACGGACATTATCGGCGCAGGTGGCCAGATATTGATACTGCATGATGAACTTTTGCACAGAGTCTTCAGTTATCTTCCAGTAGACAGCTATGGAAGCCTTGCTTTGGTCAGTCCTCACTGGAAGCATCTCACAAGGACAGAGGCAGTCTATAGGAGGTTATGCGAAAGGTTATACCTACAGCAATCAAAACGAAAACAGCTGCACCTATCGAAATTTGGCGGAAAATATAGGACAATGCTGGAACAGCGACCTCGCGTCCGAGCTGCAGGAGGATGTTATGTATTGAAGTATTCCCAGATCAAGAAGATTCAACGAGACATGTGGACAGAGGTAAGAGAGAGATTGCATGGCAACTGAGTGTTTGGGCAAGAATTTTCTAACTTCCTTTGTTGCAGATCCCAGTTGGTGCGATTCTGGAAGCTGTCTACTACCGCTACTTCTACTTCCAGGAGGATGGGCGGGTGCTGTATGCTCTTTCCTCGACGCCTCCACATGAAATGTTTAAAAGGCTGCTAAGGGTTTGCCTCAAGAAAAAAGACGACCCCGCGGCTGTATGGGGAACCTTTCAGGTTCAGAAAGATATCCTAACCGTTACGGCTCGACAAGAGTGGCATACCGTCAAGTTTACGCTAACCATTGGTAGCGACAAAATGAGTGGAAAATTTGGACTTTTGACAATGGATGAGCATCAATCATCGCCTTCTGGTTGCTTTGAGTACTATTCCAATGACCTTGTTGACTACGACGTTCCTGAGGGTTACTTTAGGTTTGTCCGGGATAGAAGGCTGTAATCTTTCATTCCTAATGTAGATTGACATTTGGTGAAAGCCTTCTAGCGGCAAGAGTGGTACCAGGTAGTGTAGAGTACCAGGTACCAACCACCCTCTTGCCTCGTCTCACTTTCTTGAGCCATGTACCATATCTCGCGCAAAAACCGCGCGAATTGTGGGGCGTGCGTTCGTTCGTTCGTTCAAAACCAAAGTCGGTTTTGGAGCAAGATCTGATTCCCAGCGTCTCTATCGAATCAAATCGAAAGTCATCACCACCATGAGTGCCGCCGCAGCCCGCCGTCGAAAACAGCTCTTGGCTCGCAAGAAGCAACAGCAAGAATCTGCTGGAGATGCTGTAGCTGCCCAGCTTCAAAAGTTGTTGGCGGATGATTCTTTGTCAGAAGAAGCAACGGCATACGAAGCCTTGCAACTTGCCCAGTCACAGGTTCGCAAGAAGGTTCATGCCAATGAATTCAAGGAAGCCGTCGATCTTGCGTACAACGCCTCTTTGTCTATTTTGAAGCACGGTCGCGTTTCTGTTGCTTCTCAGCTATTGACGGTTTTGGCGAATGTCCTGCGTGAGACTCATACTGAGGAGACGGATGAGTTGCTGGATCGATTGGTTGAGCTGGACAAAGCGCACAAAGTAGCCATGGAGGGGAAAACTGGATTGGAAGCAGATCGCCTTCAAAGGCTACAACGTGATTGGCTGCGCCGATGCGTGCAATGGAGTTCAGAGCTTGGCCCTATCCGCTTTGGCAGCACACGAATGCAAGAGCTTTATGCTGCCCAATGCTGGGCCATTGCGCACTCTATTGAAAAGGAGATCGAGGAAGAAGAAGTTGCTGGACTGAAAGCCGATGCCATCACGCATATGGCGCTTGCTGAGAAACCCGAGACAATTATTGAATGGCTCAAGACCCTTCCAAAACCCACTGACCAAGAAACAAAAACAGGTCATGTATGCCCACCTGCTGAAAGAGACTCACTTCTCACTCGCGCAGTCCTTTGTCTATGCGCGATCGAGAATTTGAGAGATGCCACCACACTTGTAAAGTCCTACATTGACAGTGTTGAAGAGCGCGAGATTGATACTTTGACAAAATCATACACAAGTAAGGACGATGGCAAGGCACCCTCCCACATTATCTTCTGCTGCATGCTTCTTCGCACTTGCGAGAAGGATCCTCGTACCGGACCCCTGTTCTCGTGGCTCCTTCGCTCTTTCAAGAGAGAACTTGATGCTATGTTCAAGACCCAAATCATCCAATCTTACACCACCAAGATTGGAAAGATTTACTTCAATATTCAGCCCCCACCAAATATGATGAACATGTTGGAGAATATGATGGGTATGATGGGCGGTATGGGAGGTGCCGGTGGAGGTATGAACCCTGCCATGATGCAAGCAATGATGCAAGGCATGTAGATAGTATGTATATGCAAGTTCCACACAGTCGCGTGTGGGCAGTTTAGCACAGAAGTCTACTACTACTGTAGGTACGCGGACTTTAAATTTGTGAAAACTATTTTATGGATAGAATAGACTACTCTAAATGAACGGCATCGCTGCATACTCATACATAATTGCAGCATATTTAACACATCGCAATGAAACCAACGATTGGGTTGACTGGATTCAGGGCAATTGAAAGACTGTTCAACTGACCAATGGCAATATGATGACTCCATAATACTCGTATTTTATTTATGACAATCTATACATCTTCTATAAGCCTAAATCTATTTTAAAATACACATAAAATGCCCCAGTCGTCCCCTTTTTTATATGCATCTAAGCACTTCTTGCTATATACGTAAATCCTTTGGGAAGGGTTCGGTTGCCCTGCATTATTATCATAGTCTCGCTCTTTTGGTGGAGCTCGACACAGTTCAAGTCCGGAGCCGCCAGCTGATGATCAATGATTTGCTCGTTTGTCAATCGGGAAATGGTCAGTTTTCGTCGCTTGGGACGAGGGGCAGATGGCGCTTCTTGCATTTGTGATGCTGGTGGTGGAGGCAATACTTGAGTTGCAGGTTCTAGTGGGGCGAGTTCCAATATTGTCATGTTTTTATATATTTGTGGTGTCGTGATTGACTGATACTTTTTGGTCTTGCTTGGTGTCTTGGTTTTGTGGGTTGTATTGTACCGAATTGTGATTGCTGTTTGTATTGTGTGTTGTTCGATAAGATCGATTGCACGTTTCAATCGTCAAATATCCAATCACAGCAACGACAGAAGCGGGATTGGTGTCTTTTAGTTCAGCAAGACTTCAGTTTGAACAATGAATCGAATGAATTTATGCTTAGAAAGTTAGTGTCATGGTCGAGTCCCGCGAGCAGAGAATTTCGACCGAAGCCGTTTTGATTTGAGAAGTGATGCCGGCACGCGATTTATCACTAAATATGTTCCGTTTTAACTACCAGAATCACAACAACTCTCAAGGTTTCCAATGTTTTGTTAGAAAATCCACGTTGAGAGTTTTTGACCTCCAAAGCTCTCTCAAACGGAGGCAGACACAAGCGCAAAATACTACCCAATCGAAAAAAGAAATGACTCAACTATTGTCCACCACCGGCGGCGATGAAGGATCCTCAAGCAATGAAAGCAGTGTTCAAGTGGCTGTTCGGGTTCGACCGATGCTTTCTCAAGAGGCTGGAAATACAAATTGCGTCGACGTTCTTTCTTCCAATTCCATAGACCTGAATGTCGTCCAGCTAGGAGGCGGCACAGGACCTAAATTCACATTCGACGAAGTATTTCCAATAGCCGCGAACCAAAGTGCGGTATACACTGACAGGGTTTTACCGTTGGTGCATAGTTGTATGGAAGGTTACAACGCGACAATTCTTGCCTATGGTCAAACAGGGTCAGGGAAAACATTTACAATAATGGGGCCTTCCTCTTCTCTTGCGACATCAGTACAAGACGAAACCAATGCGGGAGTCATTCCTAGAGCCATACGGAAAATTTTTACGTTATTAAATGAAGCACGAGACAAACATAACACGAATGACGACTTTCAAGAAGATAAGAAGCTCGAACATGATGACGATTATCATGGACAGCCTTATCAATTCGAAGTTCGGGTGCAATTTTTGGAAGTCTATGGGGAAGATATTCGAGATTTGCTTGTTGCGCAACAAGGATCACGGAAACTAACTATTCGGGATGTCGGGTTGGACGAGCCTGAGGTCGTGGGAGCCACAGAGCAGGTGTGTTGTTCTCCAGAAGAGGCTATCTTATGTTTAACACGCGGCATGTATCGGCGAGTGACAGGGGCCACAGCCATGAACCAGTCGAGTTCCAGATCACACGCAATGTTTTCACTCATCGTCGAACAGTCGATAGCCATGCCCGATGAGGACAACTCTGACAACTTGAATGCTCAAACACAAGTACAATCGATTCGTTCGAAGTTCAATTTTGTTGATTTGGCTGGTTCAGAACGACAGAAGCGAACACAAGCTGAAGGTTTGCGACTGAAGGAGGGAATTGACATCAATCAAGGCTTGCTCGTCTTGGGAAATGTTATCAGTGCTCTGGGGGATCCAGCGAAACGAGGAAAAGCGTTTGTGCCCTATCGAGACAGCAAATTGACTCGACTTTTAAAAGGAAGCTTGGGAGGTAATCACAAGACATTAATGATTGCATGTGTCTCGCCATCGAGGAGCAACATGGAAGAGACATTGAACTGTCTCAGATATGCAAATCGTGCAAAGAACATTCAAAATCATGCCGTGGTCAACATGGATGCAACCTCACGTCTGGTAGCAGGACTACGAAGCAAGATGCAAATGCTCGCATCTGAGCTTCTCAAGGCGCATGATGCAACTGAATTTGAGTCTAGAATACCAATAGAAGTGATTGAATCGATTGCTGATGGGGGAGATGGAGATGGCTACGAAAGCAAAAAATCGAGTTTGGTGGCTCGCAATTCAGGGTCGCGACCAAAAAATGATGCTTTGGAAATGGAGCTTCATCAGCTAAAGGCAGAGAACGAAGGGTACAAAATCCAGCTCTCAACAGGCAATTTTGAGGAAAATGACAAATCTGATGGCAGCAAATCGATACAAAAGGCATTTGTAGAGAGGTCGGTAGAGTACGAACGCGAAATCGCTCAGCTGAAGGTCGAATTAATGCAACAACAACAAGCTTCGTCCCGTTCACGATCTCACCAAAGGTCATTGGCTTCTCGCGAAAGGTCTGAGTCTCCTGAGATGCGCCGCCTTCGTGCGCAAATGCTTGGTAGTCTGTCTAGCCCCCAAAACTTAGATGCAGAAGTGGAGGCTGAAGAACAAGCAGCGAAAGAAGTCATGACTAAGTTTCTGAGTGAGAGTGGCGACGGCATGGGTATGGTCGAGGATGGGCAGGACACGGAAAGCTCAGAAATTCACCAGTTGACAGAAAATGAAGCTGCACTTCGTCTAGAAGCTGATTTGCATGAGTTGTCAACCTCTATTGATGCAAAGGAAGATTTGATTCAGAAGCTGTTGACGACACAAGAAAAGTTTGAGGTACGAAATTTTGCCTTTTCTCGTTCACTTGTTGCCTCAAGCTCATTCCCATTGCTCGCTTTCTCAATCCTTAGGCGATGCGCCAATTTTATGAGGGCAAACTGCACGAAATGGAAACCTTGTTGTCAAAGAGTGAAGTTGAAACAGAGAAACTCAGCCAGGAACTGGATCGTCTAGAAAAGGGCCATAGCAGTGAAGCCGAGCTTCAAACGAAATTGAAAGAAAAGCAAGAACAAGTCGCACAACTTAGAAAGAAGCAGAAAGAGCTTACTCGATTGACAAGCGTTGCAACTAGAAATGAATCACAAATCGGCCTGTTGCGTGCAGAAGTGACCCATATGAAACAGAAGAAGGCCGATCTCCAAAAGCAAATTTCCAGCGAGAGAAAGAGTCACGCGATTGAAGTGCAATCGTTGAAGAAACAATCGATGCAAAAAGAAAGAGAGCTGAACAAGGTAAAACGGATGTCTGACAAGAGAGCCGTTGAAGCGGAAAAGGCAAAAAATATTGCAAAGACTAGGCTGGAGCACATCAACCAGCTCAAATCAAAGTACAAGGAGTCTGAGAAAAGACTGAGACTGCAGACACTCAAACGTGGTGTCATGAACAAGGCTGGCTTTGACTCGGTTATGGTTGGACGTCGCGATTCTCAACGACGTGTAGGTCGTACAGGCTTTGATGTCGACAGTTTGCGCGACTTTTTCGATGACAAGGTTGCAGATGTCGGAAGAAAAGAAGCCCTTGCGGAGAAGTTGGCACAAGAGTGGGAGGAGCATCTGGAACTGTCAATCAGAAAACAAGAACTCCAAGTTGCTGATGAAGAGAGCGAAGAGATTATGACGGTCGACTCCAAAATCAAGTACAAGGAAGGCAGAATTCGTCAATTGGCCGCCAAGCTTGGAAAGCGTCGAATTCGTGAAGATGATAATCACGAGGATGACCCATTTCTCTTTGACAATACGTTCAGACAAATCGTTGGACGTAAGTGCTCTTGTCTATTTGTTTCTAACTTTCGAAGTGAATCAATCGTGTCTAACACTTTGTTTCACCTCGTAGACTCCTCGCCCACGGCCACTAAGGCTGCAGCCCGGGTTCTTTTTGGTATGGTAGTTCGCGAGAGACGACGAATTGCAACTCTGGCACGTACAGCGTCACTTTTGGATGAAAGGGTGCAAACGGCCGAGGCAGCATCGACGTCCAAAGACGAAGCATTCCGTGCTTACATTAATGAACAACGGTTGGAAGCTGCGTCTCAGGCACAAAACCAACAAGAACATATTCTCTCCCTAATGGAAATGGTGAGAGAAGAACCCGCTCCGTCAGACGATACCAAAGAAAATAGCATATCATCAAATGATCGATCATCTGGAAATTCGAAGCTCGTCCTCCTCGCCAACGAACGAATTTCCGTTCTCGAGAGTCAATTGGACAGACTGAACACCGAATGTGACGATCTTGGACAGTATCGACAAAAGGAAGAAATTGCACGGTCCGAGCTAATGAAAAAATCTGAAGAAAACAAAAAACTTGCCGAAGAAATCAAGCGTCTTCGTTCTACGTTGCGCAAGGTCCGAGACGATGTAACAAAAGGAGAAGAGCACAAGTCGATCCCTCAAGATGAAGCAGTCGTCAAACAGCACAAGATTGTTGACGAGATTTCTAATGCGCTTCGATCGCAACCAATTGACCAGAAGCTGCATAATTCGTTGCAACCAGGCTTTGTCGAGAAGAATGGATCTTTTGATTTGGAATACAACAGTGATGATGATGACGAGGTTCCAGACTGGGCAGAGGACATCATGAAGGACCTTGCAGTCATTGCAGAAGGCAAAATGCCGACCTCATTGCTCGATTCATCAGAGGTCGTTGATGCTGAAGCGCAATTGGAGCAGGCGAATGTTTTTGATCGCCTGACAAATCCGTCTCGTTTCACCGGTGTACAAAAGCAGAAGAGGCACACAGCCAAGCGCCCTCCGAAGCATGCCATCAAGAGAGATTCAGACTCTGAAGGATCGGGAGCACGATCAAGAAAACCGATCAAGGTAACAGAGAGCATCAGCAAGCTTGTCGTTTCATCAGATACGGAAAGCGTACAATCAAATAGATCGGTCTTTGACAGGCTCGTGAGTCCTTCGAACGCCACTGGCACACAGAAGAACCGAATGCAAGAAAGTCAAAGATCGCTACGTGGTTGCTCCGACAGTGTGGACGAACATGGTCAAGGAAGCGTCACTTCTGACATTACCTCGTCTTCTCGGCCTCCCACAAGAATTGAGATCGTCTCCCAAGATTCCCACCGTGGGATCCATACATCGATCTCAAAGGCACAGAGTGTGCAGGAACAACTGCGTGAAGCAGAAACGCTGTTGGATAGCGTCTTACCAAAGGATTTTGTTACATCGAACGTGTCACCGAAAGCAAAGCGCGAAAAGGATTTGAACTATGAAACTCAAGATGTTTTCGAAAGATTGACGAAAACTACCACCCAAGCTTATGCATTGAAGCAGAATATCTCTGTTGTAGACAAGCTTTTGGACAGTGTTCTTGACGACAAGAAGGGACCACCTGGAAAGCCGACTCATCGACGAGCTGCTTCGTTGAGCGGGAAAACAGACGAGCACGATATGAATCAAAGTGCCCATAAAAAGAGAAGTAGCTCTTTGCGCAAACCTTCAACAGAGTACAAAAGTGTCTTTGAGAGACTCCACAAGACTCCTACAGAAGCAGCTGCGAATCGAAAGAGCCACTCGACACGCACATTAACATCATTATAGATTATAGAATACAATTTTATTGTATCTTTATTGTATCTTTATTGTATCCATGTATGATTTAGTGCGTGTACTACTACTGAGTACTGTACCTATTGACGAAGCCTTAGCGTTGGCGTCCAACGTTCTGCTGGTGCCGTGTATGGGCGTGGTGAAGAAAAACGATTGATTCTGTTCGTCCGGTGTCCGTTTCGAACCGAACTGGCCAGCGTGAAAAAATCATCGCTAATACCGTCGGAAGTTGTACAAACACTCAAGCAGAAGAGCACTGACTGTTGACCATGAGCTACTTCATCGCCGCGATCTCAAATGGAGGGGGTGCCCCTGAGCAGGCCTACCGCAAAATGCAAACGGCTGGTGCTTGCCCTGAAAAACCCTTTGCTGGTGAGTTAAAAATTGGTCGAGAAAGAATATATTCCGATCCAAATTCCCCGAAGATCCTTCGTGATATCTTTGTCTCACCAAATGTAATTTCATTGCAGAGATGTTTAAATTTGAAGTTCCTTCTTTGACAGTCGGAACTCTGGACACTTTAATGGTAAGATTTTGATTTTGTTTCGTAGCTTGACAAGAAAATTGTGGTTGTTAACCTGTTTTTGTTGGCGCTGGCGCATTGGAACAACATAGACTTTAAGTGACGATCTTGTGAAGACAGACCAAGTTGTGGAGAGTATTGTTCGAAAGATCATTGCAACATCGGCAGAGCTTTTTGAGGGAAAGAGAATTGATCATTCCGTCGGAGGTGTTCCACCTGCTCGTTATATCCAACAGTTCGCGTGGGACTCGGCGAAGTATCCTAACCGGCGGCCATTGAAAGAGCTTGTAGGCCTGATTGCTGGAGGGGCAGCTGGAATAGAAGAAGAATTGAAGCAACTTACTGCATCGTTTGCGGACAAGCAAATAGCCTTACAAGAGGCACATCGTCGGGGAGCTGGAAATTTGATGCAGGCTGATTTGAACGATGTTTTGACAGAAGATATTATGCGAAGTGTGAACGTTGTAGACTCGGAATATTTGAAGACTGTGTTCATTGCTGTGGGAAAATCGACCAAGGAGAACTTCGAAAGCACTATTGAATCTATTGGTAACGAACTTGTGGGATATGGTGGGCCAGACTGGAGTCGTGATGGGTCCAAACTTGGAAAGCCAATTTCGTTCGGATCATCAGTGGACCGTCACAAGGTTCGAGGATCACCTGTTGTTCCTGGATCCACACAAATGGTCCACAAGGATGATGACAGTATCCTCTACGCAGTTACCATCCTGAAAGGGCAATACGAGTCTGGATATTATGAAGGAGATCAATTCCAAGCTGGAACAAAGATTGACTTTGAAACTGAATTTGCACAAGCATGCCGCGAAAAGCGATACGTGGTGCGTGATTTCAAGTGGGATTCCACGCAAGCTTCAAAATCGGCAATGGCAAGAGAGCAACTCCAAGTGGAAGTCGATGGAATGAAGAGTGCATTGATGAGATGGTGCAAGACCCACTATGGCGATGCTTTTGTGGCATGGATGCACATTAAGGTCATTCGCGTGTTCGTTGAAAGTGTTCTTCGGTATGGTCTTCCAGTTGACTTCACTGCTGTTCTCTACAAAATTCACCCCGGGAAGGATGGTGATTTGATGAATGCTCTTGACAAAGCACTGGGAAATGCCACGGAAGAGGACTTGGGAGACGACGATGGTGAAGAATATCATGATTTCGTGTTGCTTAAGTTTGATCCGTGATTTCAATCCATGCATATAAATACAGTACAGTATATTCTAGACCACTACAGTTTCCTTTTTGAATTTCGTCAGTCTATGTTTAAATGTTTTATGGTTGTGCTGTGCTGTGATTCGTTAGCTACGGATACTGCAAGTAGACTACCAGGTACTCTTTGCCCCGGAGACTACTAATAGTTAATCTATATCGCTCTGCCGCCTCCGTTCTCGGGGTTTGCGCGAGCGTGCTTTCTTGGGTGGCAGGTCTCTTCCTTCCATGGATACTCTGAATGTTCCATGCACTGGCCTGTGGTCACTATGTTGTGCTTCAGGAACGCTAGTGTATTCCAATACTCTTGTACCAAATGGTTTGAATAAAATCCGATCAGTCCACGCAGGGATTCGCTGCTTGTGTGATGTGTCGTAGGAGTCTGACTCCTTGTCGAACTTAAAAGTTGGAGCAAAGGAAATTTTTCCTTCAGCAAATCCAGGGAATGCTTGATTCTCACACATTGTAGCTTTCAGTTGATCATGATACATCAACTCGGAATAGAGCATTTGGTTTTCTTCACTGCGACCTTGTCCGAGAGTCTGCAATTCAGTCAACTCTCGCGGAAGATCAACTCTGTAGTTCAAGTCGCCGCAGAAGAAAACTCGATCAACGGAGTTAAACAAGAATGATTCATTTTCCGAAGCGATAGAGACGTCGTGCTCTGGTAGAAATCCATCTGGGGCTTGTGCTTCGAGCTCACTAGAAATCCGCCAAAAGTCAGCATTTCTTGCTTCAACATTCTTAACGTGGGCAGCCATGTGTGCGGTCACAAAGACCAGTCGCAGCGATCTGGCCTTGTTGCTTGTGGAAGATCGATTCCTTGCCTTCACCTTCAGAAATGCTGCGATCGCCCCTTTGTTATGGAACACATTGCCAATCCCACAAGTTACGTCTGCGATTGAAATCTCTTCAATTTCTTTCAAGAAAGATCTCTTTGCAAACAAACCAAATTGAATACCACCAAGCAGATGAAGTGCAATTGGTACATATTGCTTCCCAAGCATCTTAATCATGAGACGGCGATACTCCCTAGACCTTGAGCCCTCTGATCGCCTTGGTTTGATATTTTCACACTCCTGACCTGATATAAGTACCAAGTCGCTACCCGACCCCTTCCTTGTGCCTGACTTACGAAACTTTCGAATGAAAACAGCATCTTCTTCTGCAGGTGAGACCTCAGCAAGGTTCCACGTAACGACCGAAACTGCAATGTCGGTTTCACAGTCTTCACATGCTTCTAGAAGAGAAGCATCCAGCGTCATAGTCTCTGTGATTGTAGTATCTTCTACACAAGTGGCTGGCTGATTTTCCTTTTCTGTTGGTTCTTCTGACGAGTCTTTTTCATCAGAGGATTTGTTTTCATCATTCTTCACTTCACTATTGATAGAAGTACTAACATCCTGGTGACCACCTCGAGTATCGTTCACAACCGCAGTGGGCTTTGATTCGGAGTCCGACGACGAGTCGTTTACCCAAGACTTAACATCTTCTTGCAAAATTTCCTCGATGAAATCCACAACACCCTCTTCCTCTTTCGAAGGGCCGTCTTGCTTCTTTTCTGAATCAATGTCATTATCATCAACAGCGCCTTCGTTGGCCTCTGATTCCTGTTTCTTCTCGGAGTCTTCGTCAACCGGTGCTTCGACATAAGATTCTTCAAGAGAAGTTTCTGTTTGGGTTGCAGCTTCCTCTTGCGATATTGGCCCACTTTCCATTTCTGTAGCTCGCACCGAATATTCGTCAACAATAGATTCACCTCCATCGAGTTCAATAGCGGATACATCGACTTTGTCCAATTCCTCGTCGTCAACTTGCTGGTTCTCCGTTTCTTCTTTATTGGCAGTATCTTCATTTTCGACATTTGTTGTAGAGACCATTTCTATGGGAGCACTATCGACTTCATTCACAACTCCTTTCACTTCGTTAACAGCATTTGAATCGATGGTTGAATGGCTGGAGACTTCGGCATTTCCGTCTTCAAGGCCATCACCTGTCGTCAAATCATTGCTTGGAGTGGAGGTTGTTGGTCCTCCTTTAGATACACTAACAGCAACATCTGACACGTTCGTGGCGGCACTCGCAACACTTTCTACTTCAACGAATAGTACCTCTTCCTTTGACTCGTTCTGGATATTGGTTGGAGCCAAATCGTCATCTTTTCGATCCAAGGTTGTTGGTATATGAGGATCATCCTTCGAATCGTCGGTTATGGGTGGAGTTTCTCCATCAATCTCATCTTTCGCTAGAGCCCTCAGCAACGATGTTGCGAATTCTTCGGTTTCTTCTGGTTCAGAGCCATGATTGATGCGTTTTGTGTTGGCAAGACTTCGTTTCTTTGAACGTTTCACGTTTCGTTTCTTGGTGGATGAGCCCTTGACTGGCATAGATTTGGGTGGCGTGTGTGACCCTACTGCCACATGCTTTCGCCGCTTTGATCGCCTCTTTCTTCGGCTTGCCAAATTCGATTCGTCCTTTATTTTCTCTGAAGACGCTACTGTTGTTGAGGCGGCTTTTGATGATTTCTGTCGTATCCTCTTCTTCGATTTGCTGACACTAGTTTCTGTGCTCTTCTTCGCATCAATGGCCACAGAAGAACGCCTTCTCTTTGTATTTTTCCCTTTCACTCTTGAGGCAGATCTACGACCTTTTCTCTCTATAGTGACAGCTGGACCAATAGCATTGCCAACTCTTGCATTTGAAAAGGATCTGGGAAGATCTTGAGTTGCCATAGGCGATGCTTTCCTTTTTCTCCTCTTCGTTTTCCTCGTCGGTTCGTGATTTTCCCTATCATCATACCTTGTGTTCGATTTTTTAGTCTGATTCGATACTTTTCGACGTCTTTTGGATTGTCGGCGCTTCTTTGGATGATTGGATGGACTAGAAGTTGGTGCCAAGGATGGACTTGTTGAAGTTGAACCCCAAACTGCTGAAGCGAAAGGGAGGAAGCTTGTCGATCGAGCTGAAGCACATTGTTCAATCAACGATAGAAGAGCAATGACATATAGGCATGCAAGGGATCCACGTCGAAGTAACATTATTTCCAATGCACCCAGCTTTTGATCTCTATGCAAGCTTTTGTTTGATGTTTGAGTTGATACTTGATGTCTGGTTTGCGTTCGTGCGTCGACATACATTCCACGTTTCACAATTTCACACGGGAATGAAAATAATCATGATGCCGTGCTACATGTACAGTCCGGTACCAGGAGGCCAGGAGTCACTGTACCTTTGCGATGTAGACCTACTCCTAGTGATGCTGGATAGACATGTGTATCATAGGAGAAATACACTTTATACACAACCTATTAGAGTTGAAAGACATCTAAAAAACGAGAATATCTGGTAACTTGTAATCTAGAAAGTTGAGCAAAGTTGAGCAATCACAGGGACAAAAAAAAGTGAAGTTTCGAAGCGACTTCATCAGAACACTCCCGTGAGCCAAGTGCGCCCTAGCAAGAGGAGCCCAGTCAATTGGTCCTGCTCCAAAAGCGTATCGTCGAAGATGTTGTATTTTACTTTTTCAAGCTTTGACAAATGATGGAACGCTGGGACAACTGGGAGAAGGCATGGTCTCGCGTGCTTTGGTACCACACTTTGATTCTCCCTTGCCTCTGAAAAGTGTAAAGAGGCCTTTTGTGACATTTCAAACACAGCATCTTGCAACATTTGCACGTCCCCTTCAGTCATCTCGGCTTTGGGATCTTCAAGATTAAACTTGTGGTAAGGGAATCCCTTAGCGATAAGCTCTTGTGGGATCGCACATTCACCTCTTACCAATCTGAACCGAGCACTACGCAATGCTGTAACAAGGCCGATTCCAATACCGGCATTGTAAGCAACCGTATCAGCTGCATCATCTCGAACCTAGATCATATCGAGTTGTCAGAATCAAGTGAAAAGACAAGAGGCAATACTCTCGATTCATTTTAACTTACACCTGCAGATTCAAGGGACAAATAAAGTAGACTCGAAAATGTGTTTTCCGAATAATCAATGGCTTCAGCAAGGGTGGCTAGTTGCTTAACATCGAGGTCAGCTGCTCGAGCCTCCAGCAGTCTTTCCAAAAACCGCTTTGTTAGATTGCTTTCATGAACTGCATCGTTTAGTAAGCGAACCACTGGATTGTTCCAGCATGATGTTGCCATATCTAAGGATATCCCTCCAGCCGCCACTTGCTCATCGATATCACCAAACACTTGATTCAATGCATCTTGCCACCATTGAACACGAATTTTCAATGCCAATGAAGCTGCGTCAAATTCACCCCCCTCGGATTTTCTGGCATCCTTTATTGATGCGAGTTCAACATTGAAAGCTCTGATTGCAAAATATGATCTCCTAGCGTCATGTGGCATCAACAGTCCACATAGGTATCCCTCACGATCGCGATTTTGAACCAAATCAACACAATACTCAAAGTCCTTTTTCGTTGACTTTTTTACAGATTCGTCAACCGAAAAACACCGTCTTTGCATTCGTGAAGTGAAACGAAGTAATCTGTTGCTCATATTGGAATCTCAAATATGAAAGAACGTGCTATTGCATTCATTCACCGAACATGAAGAATAATGATGTGTCAGTGGTTGTGTAGAAGCAGTCGATCGAATCAATCACTCATGGAACCTGGACAACTATACTTGACACTCTACACGGTACATGTCTCTATCGCGACTCTCTTGATTAGACACTGGTTACTCTTTATTTCTACTTCACTGATCTTGGAGTTCCTACCAATGGCTTTTGTGATTCTGGAAGGTTTTCGGCAATCTGGCACCAGACATTTTCCGCCAATTCATCTTCTGACTTGCCTTCGGTTTCAATCGGTTCTCCGATATGGATTGATGCAGGAATACGCCGTCCCATTCGTACGGGCAATATGTAGTCCTTTGGATGCACTTTGTGCGCATAAGAGATTGAAATGGGGACAATACAAGCACCAGTGGCTGTGGCCATACGAAACGCTCCCTTCTTGAATGGACCCAGTCTGCCATTGTCACTTCTTGTCCCCTCGGCAAATGTTACTAGATTAACCCCATCCTTCAGATATTTGACTCCAGTTTTATACGTTTGCAATTGTGATTTCAAGTTTGTTCGATCGAGAATGATGTGCTTGGCAACTCGTAAGCTCTTGGAAAGGAAAGGGACCTCTGGAACAATCAAGACGACGGATCGTGAGAATTGGACACATGTCGAGAGACCAAACGAGATGAGAGAAGCACATACTTAAAAGTTCTGATTTTGCTACCATCTGGGAGAGAAAGACCAGAGCATGAGTGAACGGCAATGTAGTCTCTTCCAATCTGAGATGTATGTATGTATGTACCTTGTAGTTTTTCCATCCAAGTGAAACCCCAACATAGTAGATATCCATCCACGAAGCATGATTTGCGACAAACATCACAGTCGTTTTCTTCTTTGTCTCCTTGTCTCGTTTGTGAATTGCTTTCAAATTCTGTTTGCCAATAACTACAGGATAACAGTTTGTCAGCCTGAGTACGACTGTTCCCCAAAGATGACCTAGTTCCACTGGAATGCGCCGTTGGGGATCAAATTTTTGACGGGTAAGGAATTGAAATGCCTGGTAGGCTGCGAGGCTCAACCACCAAACGATGCCTAATGAGACACCAATGATACCCCAAATTACGCCATACCAATTCAGTTTCAATGATCCAATCGAGATCCTGGGACCTGGTCGAAATTTCCCGACTTTTTCATCGACACCTTCATCGACACCAGAGAAAGCGTACACGGAACGAAGAGCAGTGGAGGAAGCGAATCTTGTTGAACTTTTCGGCTGAACAAGTGATTCAAAATCAGCCTTCACTCTCAAAGCCGCCCGGCCACATTGTAGAGGTCGGAAATGATTGCTGCTGAACGAGTTACAAAAGATAGGTTGCGTGATGATCAGGAGCACTGCTAAGAATATTCGCTGCATCGAAATCATGATCCCGAAACCAAAGCTGTTTGGAGTCCTTTCGTTGTTTGAGACGGCAGGTGATTTGATTGTCATACATCATTCATCTTTCCCAAAAACGTCACACAAAAACTAAAAAAGTACATACTGTACGGACGCTGTGCAGAAAATGGCTTTTTCCCTCAAGCTTGCTTGTGGCTTGTGACCCGACTTTTGAAGTTTTGGAAAAGGGTAAACCAAAATAGAGCGAAAGACTACAGTATTAATAGTTGCCTCTTATTTCCGCAGATTCACTGGGACACGAGACAATACACATGGCGATAGATCTACCAGCCCCAGCATTCCGATGGCTGCTCGAGAACGCAGCCAGCAACGAAGAATTGGCAAGTATTTCCAATGTTTGTAGAAGCTGGAGAGAAAAGATATCAGATGAAATATGGAAGCAAGTTGAGAACTCAGCAGAAGAAGACATTGGGAAACGTGAAAGTGCGCAACATATTCTACTTTTACCTTCTATCCTTCGATGTATCATCCGCGATGACTTGGTAGACAAGGGAAGTTCGGAAACCTTTTGCCTATCTTGGTTTCATCCCTATGGTATTCAAACAAGACGGATTCCACTGAATCCAGCATATGATACAGAAGACGAAGATGACAAAATGGATTACCGAGGCCATAGAAGAATAGGTTCTCCGAATCATTTTGCCCCCAGTGGCCAGACATCGTATGTCGGAAGCGAGGAGGAAGGAAAACCAGGAGATCGAAAAGGAAATTCAAGGATGATTGCCTCTGTAGGATCTCGGCATAATCGCAGGCCCAAGTGCGAATATGTGCACTGTATGTATCAGTGGGACTCGCACAAGGAAGCGACAGAAGTCCTACGGCCTTTTGGTTTCACATCTTCTTTTGTCAAGGTAAGTCATCTCGGCTCGAAGTTTTGGAAACGCCCAGCCACCTTTCTCATACATTTGCAGCCGTTGATCGAAAAAGCATCGGACAAGTCAAGGAGTAGCAGTTCCAGAAAACGGAAGGATAAAGAAAAGTCAAAGCAGAGCACACCCGCAGTCCGTGGAGCGACGATTGCACGACCCGAAGGGTTTTGCCTGTGTTGGGATGACAGCCAGGAGAAACTGGAATCCCAGTTGCGTGATGCCCAGAATGGGGCATCGGACAAGAATCCAGCTGAGCTAAGACGACTAGTTCGAAGGAGGGCACGTCGTCGTCGGGAAGTGCAACGTGAAGTGTTGCCCAGGGTCGTTGACTGCACTCCGAGCGCTCTCGTTTACGAGCCCAGATCCATTCCAAGAGCAGTACAGTTTTTGAATGTGGACTTTAGTCACGCAGTCAGGTTGTTTACCCCTCCATTTTCAGGAGGCCCAATACCAACACCAATCACTTTCTTCTTAGTTGCCATTGCAACTGAGGACGGGTGTTTTTTGTCTGGACTCGAGAATCGTTTTGAAATTGGACATTTGTACCCACAAAATGCAAATGAAAGTCTTGTCGAGCGGAGCCCAATATGTATATGTACAGAGTTTGGCGTCGAAAATAAAGTGCCGAAAGCCACGAAAAGTACTGACGAAGGAAGCCAATTCAAGAAGGTTGAACCATACAATTCGGATGACAGTAGTTTTGATGTAAGCATGGATGGGAGTAATTTTGATCCTCCGTCAAAGTGTGCTTGTTCTTTTTCTGGGTTGGGTAATGCAGTTGAGGACGAGGAAGACGAAGATGTTGGACAGATATGCCGAGGAAGACGAGGTCCAGGTACCTGGCACTGCTACACCATCGTAGTTGACGGTACATCAAGTGTGATTCGAATAGATGGTATCCGAGAACCGCTAGAATGCAGCAACGGCATTCCTGCTAAAGCCGTTGCTTATCTTGATGGTCTCACGATTGGAGCCGACCACACCTTTGATATGAGCTTATGTTTCGGACAAGGCTCTGATGGTGAAGGTGAAGGTGCTATTGCAGAGCTTGCTGTTTTCAAAGGAAAGTTAAACGTGGCAGACATCATGGCAATGGAAAAAGATATGATGCACCGCCATGGAATCGACCTGCCGGAGCTCGAAAGCAATGTAATCCTTGCAGAGGATGTTTTCTTTAAAAGAGCGCATGCGATGCTATCTCACCCTCCCCAACACAAGATTTTTGCTGATGGTGCAATGAGTGTTCCTTTGCGTTATATGACGAAACATCGCAGTGTTGCCTGGAAGCAAGCAAATCCTGTAACAGGCGACAAAATTCTTGTATCACGAATCGGCACGAAATCTACAGAAAGCTCAAGTGACTGGTAATGTAATAGATATGTGTTGCTGTCTGTTTTATTCAAATAGACGATACGCCCGCCTTTTTCAAGTTTGGGAATTCATTCGTTGTAGGAAGAATGTGGCTGGCTGAAAGGAAGCATTTGGTTCCGGTGGATCTCTCTTATGATGTAATGCATCTCCAATGGATATTCAACTTGTTCTTCAACCGTATTTCTCTTTCTCTTTTGTTCATGGCATTGGTGGATTGGTTGGGGCACTGAATCCAAGGTAGTATATCCACGCCGTAAATGCGACGGATGCAATCGTGACTACTTGCGCCGTAAATATAGGAATAGGAAGAGCATTTTCATCAAAATTTTCGTCGTTCCAAGCTGAAAACATAGGAGGATCTTTGACCAATTTGTTGATCTCTCGTTGGAGGTCTTCTGCTTCCTCGTTCAGATTCTCATTCCAGATTTTTGTTGAAGGAGCCAATGACCGGGATTGCTTTCTTATTGCTGATGATCTCATCACAAAGGCAGAAGCTTGGATATCAATAATGGCACAAACCAAAAGCAGGATAATTTCGAAGGTCTTCATGCTGGAAGCTTTGGATTTTGTGTCTACTCGTATTGAATATTTAATCCTATCGAAGATAGCCAACTGGCGCCTTCTTTTCGGGTTCTTCTGCTTGGTGTTTTCTTGGAGTGACTCTGGTGGGTTGTGGTGTGAAGCTGGTCCTTTTGAGTTGCGCGCGAAATAACTCTATCTTTCTGTCAGTATACTTGCACACAAGTTCGATATGTGTAGATCGGACTTAGGTTGCTGGTGCAATACTGAGATGACGGTCGCCCTACCGTCGTTCATGGAGTCACTATTGAGT